ATGTCTCCAACCCTTCTGGTTTGTATGTGTGTGTAATAGTACTAAGGCTAAACTCAAGGCCTGGTGCTTTTTTTTTGTTGTTGTTGGTCATGGGGTTTGAACTCTGGGCATGGGCACTGTCCCTCAGTTCTTTAGCTCAAGGCAAGAGCTCTACCACTTGAGCCACAGAGCCACTTATGGTTTTCTGGTGGCTTATTGGAGATAAGAGTCTCATGGACTTTCCTGCCCGGGCTGGCTTTGAACCACAGTCCTCAGATCTCAGCCTCCTGAGTAATCAGGATTACAGGCATGAGCCACCAGCACCCGGCTAAGGCCTGGTGCTCTTGCTCAGCATTTTCACTCACAGCTTAGCACTCCACTGATATTGAAATAATACAAAACCGGGATCAGATCCATTGACTCTGACTCAAAGAATGAGTCAATGAACATGCCAAGAAGTAAAATAGCAAAGATTTATTGAAGAAAAAGATAAAAACAGAGCTAGATAGGAAGGGTTCTAAGAAAGGGCACTCTCTGGGGTACATTGTACAGCTGTTCATATATTTTTATAAGAAAACTATGTGGCCCTTGAGATCACTGGAGCCATCAGTCCTCAGAGTCAGAAGCTCCACATATATACCCGCACAAGCTCTCCATAAATTCTTTAGCCCCTCTTACTGGGTGCCTATTTTGGAGCATACCTCTAGGGTCCAATCAGCTCACTGTTTACATTCTAGTTTTCTAGAGGCAATGGACTGTGATGTGATGGCCAGGGTCTTGCATGCATGACTGCCAAAGGCCATGATGATATGATGTCTAGAGGAATGTATACAGGACTACTCAAGGCTGTGGTAAGGGATACAGAAATTCTAGGAGGGAGGGTTGCGCCTCCCTTGATTGCCTAGCCAGGCTCTTTTTTCTCTCAGTTTTCATCTTTTTCTGGTTAATTGAAGTTAAGAATCTGCCTGGGCTGACATCAGACCTCAACCATCCTATCTCAGCTTCCTGAGTAGCTAGTATTAGAGGTATGAGCCTCACCCTTTTTGCTTTTATTACTTTTCAGGTAAAGCCTTGTTTTTTCTCAGCCAGCCTCAAGCCACCATCCTTGTACCTATGCCTCCCACATAGCTAAGGATCATAGGCATAGTCCACATTTAACTTGCTGTTGGTTAAGATAGTCTCCCAATCTCTGCCTCTGATTGGCCACTGTGCCCAACCTGTCAATCATATTCAAATGCTCACGTCTGGGTGGGTATTTTTCTAAGCTCCTGACCAATGGGGATCAGAGGCAGTGTAGAAATGTTCAACTGCTTGTTGGGCCAAAACAGATATGGCAGATGCTAAAGCCAAAAAGGTCACCAAAGACCACAGCTTTCTCTTTAAGTGCTATGACCAGAGTGCAACTCAATTAAGCTGAGTTCTTGATCTTAAGTAGATGTACAAAGGGGTTTCAATATGTCAGTTTATCAAATTTCCATGTCCATAAAAGCTTGATTACTAACACTAGGGATCAACAGTGTGACATCTCAGGGGAGCCTGGCAGGCATGAGCAGAGTCAACCTCGGCCTGAGAGAACACTTAGGGGGCTGTACAAGTGCTGTTATCTGCTCAAGGACTGCTCTACCTCCCAACTTGGCTTGATAAATTTTGTACTAAGGCTTTAACTTCCTGACTTTTATGTTTTGCTTCTCAGATTTTAAATGGCTTAAAGGGGTCCCAAATCCAGGTATCAGTAAAACTGGAGGATAACTATTTCCCATTATCATTTCACCTATTCATGAGTGTTAGCAAGTACCCATGTCAGTGTGAAAAACTAACTCATGGGGAAGACACCAGGAGGAGATGGAGCTGGCCATCCTAGCTAAGGGAAGCAGAAATCTGGAGCCCTGTCTACAAAGCTGTGTCTAAGGCAGAGACCAAGAACAAGAGGGAGGAGGGCAGCCACAGGGTTGGGATGGGTAGTGAATGGATAAGGACTTAAAAGGCCCAGCTGTGCCAAATGCCAGCCATATGAACCTGCCTGGCAGCCATACCTCTGAGGCTTCCTTATCCATAAAGCAGGCAAAAGCACCTGCCCTGCTTGCTTCACAGGGCTTTTCTGGGGATTAATAAGGATAGTGGGTGTGAAAGCACTCTGGGATCTGGTAAAGTCCCAGGCAGGCAGGAAGGATTATTGTTCTCAGAACATCTGCTGACTTCTGAGCTATATCCGGCCATTAGCTGGAGGTTGTGACTAATTGTTTTTTAATGAAAAAAAAAAACAATATTTGCTTAATGTCTCATGAAGTCAGTCAAGCAAGTATTTCTATAATGAGAATATCTTGCTGTCACACACTTGTCCTGGCCATCTATTCTTGGCTGAGATGAGAGGTCAGGTGAGACCCTTGCCTCCAGCAATGATACAATAGGGTGAATAAGAGTAAGCTCTAAGAGTACCCACAATAGATGAAGGAGGAGGGCAGCTGCACAGACCTACTGACACCAGGCAGAGTGGGGCACATGCATCAGACCAGGTGTTGAGTACCAGCAACAAGGGCTGATTCAAGGTGCAAGACTTCAGCTGCAGCTGAAATCCAATGTCTTATGCTACCAAACAGACTCCTGTGTCAGGTAGAACACCTTTAGGCAGGGCTGGTGACCAGGTAGATAATTCTGCTATGTGAAGAGGATGTTCAAACACAAGAAGCAGCCTATGTGTTAAGGAAATGGAAAAGAGAACAGTTAACAGGGACCTTTCAGTCCACTTGAAAACAAAAACAGAGAATAGAAAAGCCACATCAACACTATTTGGATACAGTCTTAAGTCAAAGACAGGTATGTGGCAGGGGAAGGGACAAGCTGGAAACCTCTGGCCAGGAAAGGCTAGGTTGCACTTGTCTTCCTAGGCCATTTTATAGCATCCTCTATTAGGCTTCTGCACCCCATAACACCAGCCTCATTCCTAATTTCAGGAGCCATGCAAACCACTCAGCCTGGCAGCCAAGACCCTCAGAGTCTGGCCAACACTTACAACCTCAGCCCCTATGACCTCTTTCATTTGCTCTCTGACTCAGTTACTCCAGACAATGTGCCCCACCCTAAGCATGCCAACATATTCACTCAGCCTAGCCCCTCTACCTAGAATGCCAGAAACTAGCTCTAAGGGTTGACTCCTAACATTGCACCCTCAGATAAATTTTATGTGTCAGTTTCCCCATCTGTGAAATGGAGACAATACTTACCTCCTAGGATTCTTGTAAAGATCAAATGAGTTCAAGTAAGTAGAGTTTAGGTTAGTTCTCACTATACAAAAATGTACTTACAAACATGCAGTCACTAGAGAGAGACTCTCCAAGGTTTGGTTAGCTATTACCTGTGAAGAATCAATTCATTCCTCCTGGGAATGTGGGTGGCTGTTTTCTGAGTGTTCCTGGCTCAGCAGGAACATGCTGCCCATGTTGACATCCCTGTAGGGCCAAGAGCATCCTAAAGTCTTTCTGTGGTTTGAAGGGCCAGTCTTGCAATGCTGTCACAAAAGGGTCACTATCACAGCATCTATTCTCCAATTCCCAAAGGACCCCAGGTTCTGGCAGGCCTAGATTTGAAGCACTCAACACCCATGACTTTGGGAAGCAGTCAGGTTGTCTCTATAAACATTTAACCAGCCAGGGGGAGAGGGGGAGTGTGGGGAGATATGGGAAGGGATAGGAAGGGGAAACAAAGGAGGCAACAATGCTTGATACGAAATGTACTCATTACCTTGCCCATGTAATTGTAACCCCTCTGTATGGCATTTTCACAATTAAAAAAAAATTTTAACCAGTTATGATTGCCAGAAATCCTTAAATAAATTTGCCTAGGGATTCTGGTTACATTTCAGATACTGAATAAAGCTCTTTTTTTTTTTTTTCCAGATTCTAACCCTTTTAATAAAACATACACCTGTCTGCTCTGGGAAGGGTACATGCTATAGCCCAGCAACAGAGCCTGGATGGCAGGCTAGCATGGTGGTATGGACCCTTGTGGGCTGTTCTGTGGAAAAGCCTGATCCAAGTGCTCACCACAAGTGGGTGCAGGTCACTCGGGCAGTAGAATCAGATCTCTTTCATCAAGGAAGTCCTCAGGAAGAAAAAAAGACAGAGGGACCTCAAATAGCCTTGTCTGTCTGAGGACAGACAACCTCTCCGACCTCAGGAAGGCAGGCTCAGGGTGCTGCTCTGAACAGAAGTCCTAATAGTCTAGCCTGTGCAGCATGATGCAGGACCTCTCCCCTTTCCAGACCATGTGTTTGCTCTACCACAGGGCCAATCCTTGCCAAATTCAAACATGTCAACTAAGGATCTCTTGCACATGTGCTTGGCACCATTGGGAGCTAGTAAGCAGAGCAGAGCTCTCAGGGCTCATTTTCTCTGGCCTGAAGTCACAAACTACTCATTGCTTCTGCCAGTGAGGTGAAAGGAAGTTATTGACATGAATACCATGAGAGTTACCCACATGCCCAGGAGGAGAAGCAATTTATTCTCCATGCAAGTGAGGCCTCACAGAATGAGGCTTGAGGATAAGCTCAGGGTTCTCTCTGATTAACATGGTTACCTTGTAATGTCAGGGACAAAAACACTACTAAAATTTCAGGAAAAAGATCCTGCTAGTACCTTGTCAACTTCTTTGGAGTAATATCCAGAATAGTGCTGTCCACAGAGCTTCAGTCCCCTTTGTTGGTCAGGCCACCTGTCCATTCTTCCCTGGGATGTGTTTTAACACAGTTGTTGGTGGCATTTGGGGCAGCCTCAGAGAAGCATGCTTTCCTGGAGGTGAGTGTACATGGCAAGAAGACTGGCACAGGCCTCTCCTGCTTCATCTGAGCCAGTCTCATTCATTGTGCTTGGGTCAGCCACTTCCTGGCTAACTTAGGGATAGCAAGAGTCAGAAAGGGGTCTCAGCCACTTGGTACCATCTAGTAGAAAATGACTTTTCTAACAAATTTATGCCTCATGTATCTAAACCATTTCAAAAGCTGGATAAAAATAAAAAAACAAGTCATCTTTGCTTAATTGGAGCCACCAGACTCAGATTTATTTTCTATATCCAGGTGAATCACAGATAAGGCTGCTAACCAGGAAAGATGTGCTCTCCTTTTCCCCCTCCCACACACTTATTTATATTTGTAACCAGCTTCAGATGGCTCTTTGGAAGGCACTAGTTTGTGAACTGGTTGATGGCTCCCAACTTCATGATTAGAGTGTGCACTAACAGGGCAAAGAATCTTTTGTCTACCAAGGGCTATTTGGATATTTATAAGATCACCATACAAAATTAACAATTTAAGCCAGGGGTAGTATATGTGCCTGTCTTGTCATGTTCCAAAATAATTCTAAGGGCATTATACAATGCACAAGCCAGATTGCCCGCTTCCCCCCACCCTCCCCCAGCCCCGCTTCTCCAAACGTCAGTTCTCTGAAATCAAGTACATTTTAAAAGCTGCCTAGTGAAAGGCTGGCTCACGGCTCATGTCAGGAATGTTAACTAGGAAAAACATAGCCTTCCTTAAGCCCAAGTGTAGGGACTAAGACTACTTCTGGCCAAGGTTTCTCCGGAGCACTACCAGAGCTGCCCCCACTGCAGCATCCACATCCTGCCCAAAGGACACGGGAAGCGGGATGGCGCGCTGCACCTCCTGCTTCAGCACCTCGTTTCGGGACAGTGCACTGCCACTCCCCAGTACTCGCTTCACACCCCACTCCTTGAGCTGCTGGAAGGGGAGCATGGAGTGAAGGTTCTGAACAATGCCTCTGCACAGGGCCCGGGTCACATGTCCCAAAGAGAGGTCAGAGGAGGAGATTCTAGTCACAGAGGCCAACTGGTCCGGCAGGTGCCGCTCTCCCAACACTGTTGGGGTTATAGTTAGGCAGGTATCTTTCTGCTGTGCAGCTGCCTGGATCATATGCGAATACACAGAAGATTCTTCTACCTCCAAACCTGTTAAAAACAGGGAAGATCTGTGTGAGCTCCTGCAGCTCCTGGATGAAGGATGAGACTGTTTAGAGGGCCCACCAGGCAGAGAGAAATCTACTGCTTTTCCTCACACTGTAGCCCGAAGCTTCCAGGTTCAGAGACTCACAAAGTCTTCCCTATGCCCCATCCAGCTTCTCACTTGCAGCCCCAGCTTCAAATATCTACAGGCAGATGTCTCATCATGTTGCAATGAGACTTGACCCTAAAATGAGCACTGAACTATCACACAGATGTAAGACTGCAGGTCCCCGTGGAGTCAAATGCACACAATGGTTAATAAGCATTATCAAAGCTGGTATTGAAGCCATTAGCAGTGTCACACCAATCCCAGGATCCCAAGCATATCACAGTCTGGGCCACACTGATTATGTTCATGGGACACCTGAGCCTGACAGAGAAGTGATATGTTGGCAGCAAATGGCTGATTTTCCATCAGAGTCCTGGTCAGATTTTCTTCTTCTACATTATGTTAGCTCTGAATTCTAAAAAGTTTAAAAATGTTAAATGGAAAATATTAAATGGAAACTCTTTTGTACAACTACTTAAAGGTAGTAACATAATAATAAAGATTTAAATAACAAAGGTAATAAATGAAAGAGATTGTTTCAATATACTTTGACCTTACAATCATTTTGAAGGCTAGGATGTCACTTGGTGGTAGAGTGCTTGCTGAGAATGCACAGGGTTCCAATTTCTAGCATAGAAAAGAAAGAAGGAAGAGGAAGGAGAAGAAGGAAGAGAACGGAGAAAGACAGGGAAAAGAAGAAAGAGAAGGAGAGAAGGAGAAGAGAAGAAGGAAGAGGAAGGAGGAAATTTGTTTGCCATCAAATGAGGAAAACTAACCTGGCTTTGATACAAAGAAAACTGCCCTAATACAATCACTTTGGAAAACAGTCTGGAGATACCTCAGAAAGCTAAATATAGATCTCCCCCAATGACCCAGCCATACCATTCCTAGGCATCTACACTGAGCAACAGGAACCAGTATACAAAGACACATGCACCTCCATGTTTATTACAGCACTGTTCACAATAGCCAAGATTTGGAAACAACCCAGATGCCCCACTACTGATGAGTGGATCCAAAAATTGTGGTACCTATATACAATGGAATATTATGCAGCCATTAGAAAGGACAAAATAATGGCATTTGCAGGGAAATGGATGGAACCAGAGCAGATTATTTTGAGCAAAGTAAGCCAAGAACAAAGAGACAAATGGCACATGGTCTCCCTTATATGTGGATGCTAAAGCCAAAATACAAGAAGATATGGAAAACAAGACTCAAGAACCAAAGGACAGCCACCCATTTTGTTATATCATTGCTAAATGACTCCATGTTCTGGACTATATATATGGTAGATATATGCATGGAACAGAGGGAAGCCAGGAGGAGGAACAGAATTAAGAGGGAACAGCTCACACTAAGCAAAAGGAAAGAAATGTAAACATCACCTGGTATGGAAAAAATAACTTGTAATGTCAAAGCTCATAGAATTACAAACTGTATAGAGCATGATAATGACAATTTGCGTTGTGAAAATTAAAGTGTGTTTGTGACTCTAAGTATCACTATTCCACAATACTGTGAAATAGGTGAAATTTATGTAATCACTTAATTTCAATTAAAGAAAAAAGTGAGAGAAGGGATGGGTTAAGAGAGATGGGTGACAATGTTGTCAGACACTTTGTACTCATATACTGTTTTGTAGGATGTAAACTTCTTTGTACAACTACTTGAAGATAATTAAAAAATTAAAAAAAGAAAACTGCCCACACCAGGGCCCTATACTAGAGAGGCATACTGCAATCTCCTGAGCTTTAATAGCACTGTAATCCCCATCCCCATCTGGGTTTCAGGAGTTTTTAACCCTCCCACTTGATTCTGAAATGCATCCAGGTTAGAGAGCCACTCACCTAACCTAACCTTAGTGTGAACAAATCACTTATTAGGTCCCTTATGAAGCTTCTGACTCAGTTCCCAGTAGGGAACACGAATGCTCTTCTTCTGTTATCAGTTCCCAGAGGAAGTGGACACTGGTGCTGTTCCCTGCCAGAGCAGCACTTAGCTACACGCACAGATGTCAGGATCACCTGAAAAACATTCATGAAATGCCAATCTCAGGTTCCACTCATCCCTGAGTTAAATATCCAATATCTCTGCAGATGGATCCAGAATGTCAATATTGTTGTTGTTTTAGTTATCTATAAGCAATGTACAAAGGGGTTTTAATTAAACAAGTCAGTTTATGCATACAGCTTATCTTGATAAGTGCCAATATTATTTTTTATATCCCACAGTTATTTCCAGTGTGTGGCCAATGCTGAGAATCTTTAACTGAGAGCCATATAGTAACATTTCAATACTATACAAACTCAACTTTATATACTCAGAAATGAAGAAGCAAATATATATAATTTTCTGTGTCCGTCGTGGTGTTAGAACTCTGGACCTGAGTCCCTCAGCTCTTCAGCTCAAGGTGTGTGCTCTACTACTTGAGCCACAGTACCACTTCTGGTTTTTTGGTGGTTTTTTAGAGATAAGAATCTCATGGAGCTTTTCTAGCTCTTTTCTCCCTCTTTCCCAGCTCTCTCTCCCCCAGCTCTCTCTTTCCCAGCTCTCCCAGCTCTCTTTCCCAGGCCTTTCCCCACCACGTGGAGGACCAAGATGGCCTGGTGCCAGCCGGAACGATGAATAAAACCTACCCCTTACCTGAATACCACGTGCGTGCTGCTGTTCTTATTCGGCTACCTCTTTTTAAAAACCTAACATAAATGGTGCCGTGACTCGGATAAAGGGCTTAAAGTCAGGATAGGTGGGATTCCTCTGGGTTTTTTTTCCTCTTTTTTCTTTTTTGTTTGTTTTTCCCTTTTTGCTCTGAGGAATACCCACAGTTCTGACAGCCTTTTGCGAACCCATCTGTCTGCTGCAGACACAGCACATCAATACCATTGCTGGCCTTCACATCCACGTGCACACCACTTCTCTACTCTGGTGAGTGAAACTACTCTCTACAGCTTTCTGTCACTCAATCTCTGTCCAGACGTGGTGCCACGCCAGAGAGCTCCTACGGCCTTTAGTTGAAAGGCCGGTCACCTCTGAAGCTGAGGACGCTTGGCTTTGGGGGCTTGGCCATTTCTCTCTAGAGAGCTCTGGGGGAAGTCGGGACGCCGCTTCTGCCTGGTCAGCTCTCCTTCACTCACCAGACTGACTCTCCTACTCATTTAATGGGGTGCTGCGAATCACGCCTGAGCCATGAAACCCCTTTGAAATGCCTCCTGCGCTCTCTGGAAAGCCAGAGAGCCTAATTTTATGCCATTCTCAGATGTACACAGATTTTGCTACTGCAATAGTAAATGGTCAGAGTCTGTTTAATTTCAGGCTCTCTTTGCTCTCTCTCTGCCATTCATGTCCAACTTTCTATCCTTTTTTCTACAACTTTTTGGCTTGTGCCTTGAAGAGTGCGACGCAGGCTGGGTCCCAGGAACCCCCCTCTAGGTTCCCTCTCAAAGGCTAGCCAATCTAGGCTTGATCTACTTGTTCAAGGTTTCTTTGCATTTTTTCAGAAATTTGCCATCTTGAGTTCGCCATCTTGACCACATGGTGGTTAAGGGTTTGGCCCCATCTGACCGTTAACCTTCCACCAAGCTTACTACTCCATGTATTCTAAGGTGCCTTGCTAACAAGTTGCTCTTTTCACAGGCCCTGGTAACTGAGGCCCAACTATCTGATGTGCTTTGTTAGCAAAGATATCTAAACACTGATGTCAAAATTTTAGGTTTTGAGTTTTGCCTTTTTTGTTTTGTGTTCTGTATTCTACTGACTACATGGTTCTAAAATACTGGGCATATCTGTGCTAAAATTCTCATCACATCTAATGAGTTTTGTCATTTCAGAATATTTGTTGGCAATTTTTGATAAGGACCAGGTAAGCTCTACTTATTCTATTTGATCTCCTTGTTACTTTAATTGGAAATAATAAAGGGCTTTTGTAGCAAAGATTGCAGTTCAAAGCCAACCTGGGCTGAAAAATCCCTAAGACTCCATCTCCCAACTAACCTGCAAAGAGCCAGGCTGGAAGCAGGGCTCAAGACTCTTACCTCTAACCAGCCAAACACTAGAAGTGCTATTGTAACTCAACGTGGTATAGCACTAGCCTTGAGCAGAAGTGCTCAGGGACAATGCCCAGGCCTTGAGTTCAAACCTCCTTGACTGCCAACTGGGACTAGCCATCCCAGCAACAAACACCTAAACTCAGCCAGTCTGGGGAACAAGGGACCATGGAGAGGAGTAAGAGGAGATGATGTCACATCAGCTACTTTGTGGCTGTCCTTTCAAAATTAACCGGAGCCGGGAGGTCTGTAGAAGTAAGAAGCCTGCCCATCTAATGTCTATACCTGTCTACCTATTAACTGAACAGGAATTTACATTCTTGCCTTTGTCACCTGACTTCTCTACCTAGTAGCCAGATGTCAGAAGTAGCTAGGGACATTTCTACCAACATTTTCAGCCCCAAGTCCTTCCGCTTGCCATTTATTTGCTCTCTAGTATTTTTTTTCCCAGCCCCTCAATGCTCATGAGACTTCTCCAGACTTCATCTAAGGACTCAATCCACCAAGGGACAGCTGCTGCTCACTGCCTTTTACCCCTATTGTCGACACCCCTTGTCAGCAGGAAGTAGCCAGAGAGAATCCGCGCCCTATTTCATGATTATTAAAAGGTTGGAATCTAAGGTCCACTACTGGATAGCTAGCAGACTCCACACTCCTCCCAGCAAAGTCTCCACCCAGTACCTGCATTACCTAGGCAACTGGGATACCTGGAAGAGGTCACATCTGCATCTGCTGAGGTCACATCTGAATTTGATGTGGCCACACCTTTCTCCACCCATACCCTAGATAAGGCCTAGACCTGGCCCAGACGCCCTTTCTCTGCTCTTTTCTAGCTCTTCTCTTTTCTAGCTATTTCTCTCTTTTCTAGCTCTTTTCTCCCTCTTTCCCAGCTCTCTCTCTTTCCCAGCTCTCCCAGTTCTCTTTCCCAGGCCTTGACCCACCGCGTGGAGGACCAAGATAGCCTGGTGCCAGCTGGAAGGATGAATAAATCTACCCTTTACCTGGAAAAAAAAAAAGAATATCATGGACTTTTCTTCCCCAGGCTGGCTTTGAACAGTGATCCTCAGATCTCAGCCTCCTTAGTAGCTAGGATTATAAGCATGAGCTAGTGGTACCCGGTTAGTTTTATATTATAAACAACCAGTCAAACTTTGATCAGCAGGACTCCTGGTTAAAGATGACAGGATACATATAAAATGTATCATCTCCTCTAGGAATTCTACAAAATTGAAATTTTCTGGGTTTTGGTTTTTGGTTTTCCCCCTTTGTGGTACTTAGGTGGAGCCCAGCCATTGGAACATGCTTAGCATGCTACATCTACTAAGCTACTCTCAAAACCAATATTTTTCTTTTTCTCCTATTTTTGGCTTTGTCTTGACATAGGGTCTCACTCTGGAGCCCAGGCTACCCTCATATTTGCAATTCTCCAGCCTTCAAAGTGCTGAGATTACAGGCAGATGCCATCACATCCAACAAAAAAGTGTCTTTTTTTGTCAGTGGGCTTGAACTCAGGGCCTGGGCACTGTCCCTGAGCTTCTTTTGCTGAAGGCTAGCACTCTACCACTTTGAGCCACAGTGCCATTTCCTGTTTTCTGGTGGTTAGCTGGAGATAAGAGTCTCATGGATATTCCCACCCAGGCTGGCTTCAAACCACAATCCTCAGATTTCAGCTTCTTCAGTAGCTAGGATTATAGGTATGAGCCATTAGTGCCTGACTCTTTTTTATGACAAAAAACATGGACATAAGGAATGAGAGATTATGATTCATATTTAGAAGACTCGCAAACAGAGTAAAAGCTGACATTTCCAGCCCAGCTGAGGAAACACCATCTATGTGTGAGGCTACAGCAGAAAGTGCTGACAAAAAACAATTCTTCCCTCTTCCATAAGGATTGGAGCTTAGGAGACATGGTATGTTTCAAAAGGCAGAAATACAACAGAGCTAGAGCCAAAACTCCATGAGCTCTTCCCCACACAATTGGCCAATGCATCCCACTTGCCCCGACTTGGGAGGCCCGCATGCCAGAAAATTCTCAGCCCACATTTGCAGAGCATACAAAGGTCCAGCCCTGGCACTGGCTCCAGGTCTTCTACTGGCCTCTTTATTTCCCTCTCCCCAAGAGGGGACATGACCATATATATGGCTCCAGGAACACAGAACCAAGTGCTTCACAGCCCTTCGTTTGATGCCTGGGACTGCGTCAGCCAGTGACTTTTAGATCTAATGAGACCAGCAATCTAGTTGCCAGACACTGCTCTAGTTAAAACCCAGTCCTCAAAACAAAGACTAGAGTTTCTACAAAGCATATAAAGAAGTTATATGTCAGCACTAAAACTAGGGTGGAAATGGTGTGATTATGTTACTCTATAATCTTCCTGTATTGTTGGGTTTTAAAAAATCATGTAGCCAAAAAAAAAAAAAAAAATCATGTAGCTCAGCCAGACCCTGGTGATTCACACCTATATATAATCTTAACTACTCAGGAGGCTGAGATCTGAGGATCACAGTACAAAGTCAGCCCAAACAGGAAAGTCTATGAAACTCTTATCTCCAGCAAAAAGCCAGAAGTAGAACTGTGGCTCAAGTGGTAAAGTGACTGCCTTGAGCAAAAATTCTAAGGAAAAGTTCCCAGACCTTGAGTTCAAGCCCCAGTACTGGCGCGTGCGCACACACGCGCACGCACACACACACACACACACACACACAAAACCCATGTAGTTCTGCAGTAGAGTGTTTATGTGACATGCCTAAGGCCCTGAGTACTATCCCTAGCATAAGAAATAAATGAAACATTCCCAACTCTTTCAGAGGTAAGAAAACAGTCCAACACAGCTCTATGATGATTAACACATGCAACCCGCTATACCAGCATCTGGATAAAGGGTTTGCCTGGCGATTCTGACCACCAGTTCTACAACCTGAAACTTTTTCCAGGTTCTTTCAATCAAGTACCTCTGAGAGAACTAGGCTAGATCTCCCCAGCTATCCTGATGTCCTCAATCATCCTGAACCCCAGTCATCCTGAAAACACTGAGAAGATCTGCCCACCAGGGAAGAACTTTCTACACTACTACCTGTGCCTACCTTTGTTCTCAGGTTGATGTTGTACATTTCCTGAAGTCATCTAATTTTGAGCCCCTGCATCTGATGGCCATGATTTCCCCAGACCTAGACAGTATGCCAGAAAAAGAGGCCATTATATGTGCAGAACAGAGAAAAATCCTCCCCTGGGAATAAAAGAAGATAGATGGAAAACCTCAGAGTTTCCAAGGAGGCTTCCAAGAAAATGAAGCTGGAGCTGCAGGATTATATAATGTAATATTACCCAATACCAGAGTCTTTTCAGTCAGACATGTTTGAGCACTGTATTTGAGTTATTTGTAGTCAACTAAAGAAAAACTTTAAGTGCAAGGGATCTAGGAACTTTCTGGCAAAAGAAATAAAACTGTGGGTCAGAGGAAGTAGAGGAGCTGTTGGAATATTCTACATCCAAGGTAAAGAAAAGGTGCCTGCCACCTGCCACAAAGACAAGAATATGGATGGTCTGGAAGTTCAGTCATAAGAGACAAAAAGGCTTCCACACAGACTCCTAAAGCAGGAAGGAATATGCTGGACACAGCATATTAGACACTATCACATGAAAAGGACAAGCACAGAACACATCACTGTGTGGGCCACACTTACCTAGGTCAGTAATCCATTGCACAAGCATATGAACAAATGTGGCCAGCACATTGCCCCCATTGAGTGATGCTGCCACTCCCAGGTAAGTGTTCTCAAAGTACGGAAAGTATGCAACTGGGGCTGTAGGGTCCGGAGCCTGCGCTGGCTGGAATCCCAAAGGCATGGAGGCTGCCAGCTGAATCGAGGTGCTGATGTTGAGAACTGTAGTCCAGAAAAAGCAGAGCTTAGGCCTGCTAGGCTAACCTGGAGTCATAAGTTATAACCAAGCAATGGGAGGGCGTGGGGGGTTAAAATATATCCATAATCAATTCTCTGCTATCCACTCCTTTCTAGAGGTAAAGACTGATTCCTCTGTCCCTAAGTAGAGGCAGTATGTAACATGCTTCTACAGGATAAAATAAAGCAAAAGCAGTATTGTATGGTTTCATGAACCATTGTGTTTAGGAGCCAACCTGAGTTTAGTTTCTACCTTTTGCAACTACTGGAGTTCAGAAGTAACAAGAGCAAAAGCATGTCTCAGAAGGTCAGAGACCTTTACATTTGGCCACGTCAAGTTCCTACCATGACTATAAAGCAGAAGCACCAGGTCCCTGCCAGCCCTTTGGCTAAGGGGATCAAGGACAGTGGAGAACCAGCATTGTCTGTGGACAGGTCACAGATAAAGACATGCAGCAGCCCCAATCTGGAGCCAAAGAATCCACCACCTCCAGGAGGAGGAGGTTTGCTGTGGCTTGAATGTCTCCAACCCAAATGCTGGTGGAGATATATAGATATGTATATGTATTTATGTGTATGTATGTATGTATATATATATATATATATATATATATATATATAGTCAGTTGTGGGGCTTGAACTCTGGGCCTGGGTGCTGTCCCTCAGCAATTCAGCTCAAAGCTAGCACTCTACCACTTGAGCCACAGCGCTACTTCCAGTTTTCTGATGGTTAATTTGACTTTCCTGCCCAGGCTGGCTTTGACAGTGATCCTCAGATCTCAGCCTCCTCCTCAGTAGCTACAATTACAGGCGTGAGCCCTGGCCCTTGCTTGCTGGTGGAGATTTAATCCCCCACTGTGAGCTGTTAAGAGAACCAGGCAGGAGCTTCATGAGTGATTGGGTCACAGTGACTGAGTGGGTTAATGGGTAATGAAGGAACTAGCTTCATTATAAAAGAGGGCTCATTCTGACTAGTTTGTTCTGTCTACCCCTATGATGCCATTCAGCATGCCATGACCCAGCAGAAATGTTCTCTCCATTTTTCTGGCCTATTCAAGAAAAATTTGATGGGCTGGGAAGGTGGCTCCGTGATAAGAGTGCTTGCCTCGCATACATGAGGCCCTGGGTTCAATTCCTCAGCATCACATAAACAGAAAAATCCGGAAGTGGCGCTGTGACTCAAGTGGTAGAGCGCTAACCTTGAGCTGAAGAGCTGAGAGACAGCGCCCAGGCCCAGAATTCAAGCCCCATGACCAATGAAAAAGAAAAAAGAAAAAAGAAAAATTTGCCAATCTTGTCCCAGACTGATACCTCCCACCTCAGTGTGACTCTCTTACCCTAAATATAGAAAAGTGCCTGCAATTCTAAACATCTTGACATAACTTTCACTGACAAAAACACATTAACAGCTCTACTCTACACATCTCTTTTTTTCCCCCTGTGCTGGGCTTGTACATGCTAGGCAAGTATTCTACAACTAAGCTTCATTCCCAGGCTAATCATCTAATATTTTGGTCACAGAGTATAGAAAAAGCCTTACAATAGAGCTATTTCCTTCACCTGGCTCAATAAGCCCAGATGGTCAGCCTACAGGGGCAGAAACTCATCTGCTGGCCTGCAAGCTCTCTAAGCAGAGGGATTCACCTGCATAGATGAAGTTGCTTTCATTTCTGTAGATTAAAGGGTACTAAGGCTGCTAAACTACCCATGCCCCTCAGAACTTTGCTCAGGGATAGCACTTAGGAGACAGGAGACGTTAGTGTCTCGGGAGAGAACAAAAGCAAAACTTACCTGCATCTGTCTTTTGACCCATGCAGGAATAGACGGAGGCCTGTAAATCACCCATGGCCACACCCACCTGTGTCCCTTTGGGGATTTCAAACCACATATGGGAAGTTCTGCCAGCTGTACTCCCTGGCTCAGCAATGTCGGGGAGCAGGTGGGTGGGAAAGCCTGAGGCTCTCAGTCTGCAAAACAAAAGCAGCCACCTGGATTTACCTGGTGCTTGGTATTCTGGATTTTGTTATTTCAAGGAAACTCACTAAGAAAAAAGTGCTATAGAGAAAGGAAAGTAGAATCCTTCCTTAGATTCCTCTTTCCTTTGGCTTTTTTTAAAACCATGAGTTTGTTTTTTCTATAGTGAACAAAAGCTGGGGATTTGCCTTTAGTGGAGGGTACAGTTTAAATAGCAGCCACAAAAAAGGAGCAGAAGTGTTAGTTTCATGACCATTCAGCATTCCAGACCCCCTCCACCTCACACTTGAAGGAAACACAAACTCTCTGCAAAGGGAGGCCTCACTGCTACAGTGCACAGTTAGAGTTGGTTAGCCTGGACCAGACAAAAGCCAAACCTGCCAGCCTCCTGGATCCCCACACACCCAGCTCTCAGGGCTAGTGAATACAGAAGGGCTATTTTATGAAACACGCTATAAAAAAAAGTCCTTTACCTGAACTACCAGATGCTTTTCGTTTTATGTCAGAATTTGGGCCCTGAAGGAAATGAACTTACAAGGCACTGAACTTCTGTACCTGAAAAGGCAAATGATTGCTTTAAAAGTACTTAAAAGGCATCCCTCCAGTCTACTAACTCTGGTTATCAGTCTTACTTTAAACATATAAAACTCAGAGTGGCTCAGGTGGTAGAATAATAGCCAATGCGTGAAAACATCAAATACCAAGTTCAAGTCCCAATCTTGGAAAAAATATACATATGTATATGCATATATATGTGTATATCTACATATATTATATATAACATGAAGGTTATACTTACACCTCCAAGTTCCAGCTTTGGCTCTGGGTGTTGAAATACCCCCAGCTGGCAGCATTTTGGTCAGACATCACAGGTCTTGGCAAGCCACACAGCATAGTAACCACATAGTCCTGGATGGTGCCAGCTACATCATAGGACTTCAGGAATTCTGGGCTGTTTTTCACATCAAAAACAATTCAGTGCAGTCTGATGGGGGTGGAAGTACATGATGTACCCAGCTGTGAATGATAGGACCAGACAGTGGGCAGCTGAGGGTATATCACAATTCTGTGGCTCATGCACAGCTGAACCCCTAAAATAAAACCTTGCCACTCCATGCAAAACATGGAGAAGCACTATGCCTGGGAAAATAGGACATGCCCTCCCCTGTCCCATTCCTTTCCACTCTGGGTTATATCTGGATGATAGTAGAGAACTGCCTGCAAAATGGAGCCATCCTAGACCAAATCTATGTTTTGTGACCACATCTTATGTCAGGCCACATTTACAATAGCACTGTCCAACAAGGGCCATCTAGTCCAGGGGCTGACTAGGTAAAGCTGCAGTCCCTGCCTACTCTTAGCCCCTGGAAATGATTCAAAGAGTAGTTGTCATACCTATTTTTCAAAAGCCAGAAGATGGTTGCACAGCCAAATCCTGTGGCCACGCTGAGATGGGACCCTGGCTGGGGCAGAGAAGCCAGGAACTCACTGCTACATCGGCCATCCTGCCATGTGACCAGGTGGCTCACAGCTCTGGGCTCAAACACAGGAACAGGCCCTCCTTCTATCCATTCACAGCCTGAAAGAAAGAAGACACAAAAAAAAGTGGAAGAGAGAACTAGGGGAATGGTTAAGTGGTGGGGCCTCAATAGGTTCTGAGTTCAATCTGGGGTAGAAGGACAGGAAGGAGAAGCACCTGAGAAGTCACCCACATGGTCCCAAGACCACTGTACTTGTGCAACACAGCAGTATCTACCCTGTAATGTTGCTGGACTCAGACTTGGTATTGATATCAAGGTGACTTCATGACTGTGGGCAAGTCATTTACTCCCTCCATGTGTCCCATTTCTGTTTTTTATTATTTTATGTATGTATGGGTGTATGTATGTATGTATGTTTGCCAGTACTAGAGGGCTTCAACTCAGGCCTAACACTGTTGTTAGCTTTCTTGTTCAAGGCTGGTGCCCTAACACTGGAGCCATGCCTCTAGTATAACATTTTTGCTGGTTAACTGAAGGTAGAGTCTTGTGATCTTTGCTTTCTGGGCTAGTTCTGAACCATGATCCTCCAAGATTCAGCCTCTTAAGCAGCTAGGATTGTGGATATGTGCCACCACCCTACTCTTTATTCGTGTGTGTGTGTGTGTGTGTGTGTGTGTGTGTGTGCACTGGTATGGGGCTTGAACTCAGGATTTAGGCACTTAGCTTTCTCACTCAAGGCTGGCAGTGTACCACTTGAGCTATTGCACCACTTCCAACTTTGTTATGATAAATTGGAGATAATAAAAGTCTCATAGGCTTTCCTGACCATGCTGGTTTTGAACTGTGATCCTCAGATCTCAGCCTTTTAAGTAGGTAGGCTTATAGGCATGAGCCATCAATGCCCAGATTTTTATTCACTCTTAAATTATTATACTTTCCGGAACCCCATAAAATATTTAGTAGTCTCAAGTCCCCTATCTAAAACTCTCATCATGATGACATTATCTAGACTTGATTGTATGATTACCAACATATTTTCTCTTTTCCTTTGGTCTTACCTAATTGATCTTTTTAGGGAGAGGAGGAAATGGCTGGAGCTTTACTAGAGAGCTGCATGAGTGTTCAGTATGTGCCATGTGCTCTAATACTGAGCTACAAGCCCAACTCCAAGCTAATGGATCTTTGGACATCAAACTTTACTTCACTGATCTCATACAACACCTCTGCAAATTATCTGCTCTGATTTAAATATTTCTTCCAAATTGTTTCCAGCTTAAACCATTCTGTAACAATGTGTCTATAGGCCTAAAGGCCTCCAAATGCTTTTCATATTCTCATATTTGAGAACAGCTAGATCCATTGTAGTATTCTAGTCTTAATGTTGTTTTTGTAATGCTTGAAAGCATTATTTGTGGTAGATTTGCACAAATTCTTCACTATACTTCCCATTAGGAGGTGTAGCACAATACCATGCCAGTAGTTCATGCATGTAATCCAATCTACTCAAGAGGCTAAAATATGGAGGATTGTGGTTCAAAGCCAACCCCAGGCAAAGAAGACTACAAGACTCCATGTTCAAAACAACTAAATGCGTGGCTCAATTGGTAAAGTACTAGCAGAACAAACAAGCCCAGAAAGTACAAAGCCCTGAGTTCAAAGCCCACGCCAAAAACAAAAAGCCCACACCAGAAACAAAGAGTGAGAGAGAGAAAGAGAGTGAGAGAGGTAATATCATAATATTTAAATCCTCTCTTCTTGAATTATTGGCTGGCCTGGGTGACTTGCTTAAGCAAGAGAATATGGTGGAAGGCAGCCACAACCTGGAATATAGAAAGCTAATTCATAAGAAGTGTTGCAGCTCCCACTGGAGCCTCTCTGGGAGAAACCAGCCCCTAGGGAAGAAGCCTAGATACTCTCAAGCTACAGTGCCAGAGAACTACAGGAAGAGGCCACATGTAGGTCTGGTGCAGTTTTCCAGGTAAACCCAGCTTTACAGCCCACCAGTTATATCACAGCCATTGAGAAAGGGCATCATGAAACCTCATCTGTCTATCCACCAGATGTTCAAGCAACTGCTATTAATTCCATGCAGAAGAATCAGCCAGTTGAGCCCTGTGCAGGCCTTGACCCAAAGAATATCTAGATATGGTAAAATAATGCTTGTGTAAGTTACTAAGGGATGAGCAAAAAGAGCTCAGGAATAGTGCCCAGGCCCTGAGTTCAAGCCCTGAGACTGTACAAAAATGAAACAAAACAAAACAAAAAACCTGATAATTTTCTGCATCCAAGCAGAGCCAAAGTACCAACTCAAAAAGTAGAGAGCCAGGAACCGGTGGCTCATGCCTGTAATCCTAGCTACTGAGGAGGCTGAGATCTGAGGATCATAGTTCAAAGCCAGCCTGGGCAGGAAAGTCCGTGAGACTCATCTCCAATTAACCACCAGAAAACCGGAAGTGGTGGTGTGACTCAAGCAGTAGAGTGCTAGCTTGAGCTGAAGAGCGCAGGGATAGCACCCAAGCCAGGAGTTCAAGCTCCATGACCAACTGGGGAAAAAAAAAAGAGAGAGAGAGAGAGAGAGAGCAATGGCTGCTATATGACCAAAGGCCCCACAGGTACAGGCCTTCATTGCCTTGAGGCTCCACCATAACAAGCCAAGGCCTCAAAGTATTCTTCCCTTCCCTTAGTGAGGAAACACATCTGGGTGAGAAAGGAATCCCATTTGAGTGCACCTTTCCTTCTTACAAGAGCTTAAGCAGATTAAGGTTCATTTAGAGAGTGTTCCAAATTCAATTTAATATGCTAATTTAAAGCCCACTTCTTTATCTTGGTAGCTTGTGTTTGTTTAAAAATAGAAGCTCTGCCGGGCATCGTGGCTCATGCCTGTAATCCTAGCTATTCAGGAGGCTGAGATCTGAGGTTCATGGTTCAAAGCCAGCCCAGGCAAGAAAGTCCCTGAGACTCTGATCTCCAATAAACCACTAGAAAATCGGAAGTGGCGTTCTGGCTCAAGCAGTAGAGCACTCGCCTTGAGCTGAAGAGTGCAAGGACAGTGCCCAAGCCCAGAGTTCAAGCTCCACGACCGACAAAAAAAACAAAAAAGAAGTTCTGCAGGGTACCAGAGGGTCACATCTATAATCCTAGCTATTTTGGAGGTTGAGGCCTGAGGATCACAGTTTGAAGCCAGCCCCGGCAGAAAAGTCCATGAGACTCTTATCTCCAATTAACTAGCAAAAAGCCAGAAGTGGACCTATGACTCAAATGGTAGAGTTAGCCTTGAGAAAAAAATCTCATAGATAGTGCTCAGGCCCTGAGTTCAAGCCCCAAGACTAGCACACGTACATAAACACACACACAGCCATATTCTATAGGAGCATTTTTTTTTTTTTTTTTGGGTCCGGTCGTGGGGCCTGAACTCTGGGATTGGGCGCTGTCCCTCAGCTCTTTAGCTCAAGGCTAGCGCTCTACCACTTGAGCCACACAGCCCACTTCCGGCTTTTTTCTTATGTGGTGCTGAGGAATCGAACCCAGGGCCTCGAGCATGCAAGGCAAGTGCTCTACCACTGAGCCACCTTCCCAGCCCCTATAGGAGCATTTTATATGTACCAGAATTAGTACTTGAATTCAGGCCCTGAGTACTGTCCCTTAATTTTTTCACTCCTAGTTGGCACTCTACCATATGAGCCACATTTCAACTTTTTGGTGGTTAATTGGAGGTAAGAATGTCACTGACTTTCCTGTCTGGGCTGTTTCAAACTATGATCCTCAGATCTCAGGTATGAACCACTGGCACCCAGCTATTTTAAGTTTTGAGTGACACAAGTGGATGAATTCCCAACACAAAATTTTTAAATATTACAAATAAAGATCCTGCTTGCTCAGCCTTTTTATCTCTCCCAGCATTTGTGAGGCTACACAATATATTTAGATAATTTGTGTGTGGATTTTTTTTGGGGGGGTCCAGTTGTGGAGCCTGAACTCTGAGCCTGGGCGCTGTCCCTCAGCTCTTCAGCTCAAGGCTAGTGCTCTACCACTTGAGCCACAGCACCACTTCCGGCTTTTTTCTTTTTTGCTTATGTGGTGCTGAGGAATCGAACCCAGGGCCTCAGGCATGCAAGGCAAGCGCTCTACCACTGAGCCACCTTCCCAACCCCTGTGTGTGGATTTTTAAAACAATAGTACTTTATTCATTGTTGCTCAATGTGTTCTTAATTGTACTGTATTCTGTTTAAGTACTTCATATCACTCCACAGCATGGGCCTGCCACTATCCATTTAATCCATCCCCACAGGTAAATGTCACATTTTCACTACAATAAGCAAGGATGCAGTAAAGAAGCAGCATAATGCCTCCTCATGCACATGTGTGTTCATTTTCCTGGATTGATCCATAAGCACAATAACTCCTGAGTCACAACAGCTACCTTATTTTTAACAGACTAACCAAAGTAATCAAAACAGCTCTACTAATTTGCATTACCAGCATTAGCATTTTAAAAGACCACTTTACACTCTATTAGCACCTGACATCCTCAAACCTTTTGAATTCTTGTAATACAATGGGTGGGAAACAATTTCTCATTGTTTTCACCTGTACATCTCAAATTACCAATGACATAGATTTGATCATCATGTTTACTAGCTATTGAATATTCTCTTTTAAGAACTATCTGCTACATATCTTTTGTCCACTTACACTTTCTTTGTTATTGCTTCTTTATTTGTACTGGTATCTGTACTTTGCCTACTCTGGCAAATATTTTCTTCCAGCCTAATGCTCACCTCTTAGTTTACTTTAAGATCTCCATTTCTCTCCACTTTTGCTGAGTCTGAAAACAGAATGTGAAACAGGTGTAACCACAGGCCTCTAAGAAGATACTAATCACTCCACTCCCTCTCCTCCAATTTGCTGGCCCTTGCCTTCACTGAAGCACTTAGCTCTCTGCTCAGGTTACAAGTGCCTAATTGTATTAGCTATGTTCAGGTTTCATCCATTCATTTTTATATCTCCCACAGGGTACAATATGGGGCCTTATGTGTTGTAGGAACCGAAACCAAACTGAATTAAGGCTGCCATTAAAAGTAGTATAACTTGATTCCAAATGCGATTTCACGCAACTCTACTAAGCAGGAACCATCAGCCAAATGATGGCTGTCCTTCTTCCCAGAAACAGAAAACAAAACAAGAAAGCATCAGGCTGGTCCAATGAAATATTAAGCAGCTTTTTCCAATGTTGTGGCTGATGGTTTGTGTGGTTGGTACAGAATCCAGGAGATGGGCAGAAAGGAAGGCATGTGACCAGACCACAATCATTAGATCTCTGCAGCCCTCTTTGGGAAGGGTTTTAGTATTAAAAGGACATTTATTCTCGTTAATGAATAATTAAGGAGTTTAAAAGGCTTTTACAACCTAGACTCTGGTGCTCTAATTGGCCTTCTGCTACTGCCACTGCTGGAGCCAAGCAGCTTCCATAGTCTCAGCCAGCCTGACAAGAGGCAGACACAGGAGTAGGAGGGAGACAGCTGCCTAAGGCTTCCACAGTTTGCGAGCCCCTTTCAGGGCAATGATTAAAGGATGCATCACCAGACAGCAGTCATACAGAGAGGCAAGTCAGTACTCACTCAGCCGGGGACTCTGAGCCTGACTCTCCAGGCAGAAAGGGATGAGTACAATGTTCACATCCTCTTAACTATATCAGTCCAAATTAGCCATCCAATGTATATAAACATATACAGGGGCATATGCATGTGTACACAAACATATTAACTAAATTATGGTATATGCAGGGGAAGGTTCCAATGGTTTAACTACTTTTAACAACTAACTTAGTTTAACAAAATGAATAGCCAAGAAACTGCAATGTATGTTGTTGGGGGCAGCATAAGGCCAGGGGGAGAAGGGGCAGACAAATGGAGAGAGGAAGAGTAAGTAAATATAGTCATAACACCAAAGGAGGATACTCTTAGGGATAAACACAAAGGTGTAATGCCTCTGTGCCTCTGATCATATAAAATAATATCAAATTAACCCCAGGAAATGGAAGCAAGAGTTGTTTTTTTTTTTCCTTTTATATTGTTTATTCTTCTATCTGCCTTTGGGGTGGGGAAAGACACAGAAATGGCAGGACAAAGAGTGAACAAAAGCAGCACTGGTACTCGGTATGTTGAAAATAAACTGTACAACTTGTGGGTGGGGATGGGAGGGAAAAACAGAGAGTGAAGAAAGGATGACATTGTCCAGAAAGAAATGTACTCATTACTTGACTTATGAAATGGTAACTCTTTGGTACATCACCTTTATATTAACAATAAAACAAATGAAGATGAAAAAAATATAGTCATAACATTCAATGTACATATGTAAAAGTGGAAAACAGGAGTTTTCCATTGAGGGAATGAGTGGGGTTGGAAGAAGCAGGGGATAATGATGAAAAGGGAAACACTGACCAAAATGCATTGTATTCATAAACTGACAAACTGAATTGAAACCCCTTTGTGCACTACCTAAAGACAACATAAATAAATAGCAAAGTACTATCTATGCTGTGCTTCAAACACTTAGCCAGATGTGTTGATGGCTCATACTCACAGTCCTAACTGAATAGATGATATGAGATAGCATCTAAAACAGTGTTTTGTTTTGTTTTTTAAAGTCACCCATACCCACACTCAAATGCTGCTTATTTTATTGAAGCCAGTGATGAGTTCATAGTATTAGTCTTAAGATTAAAAAAAAAATGTTAGCTGGGTATGGTAGCTCATGCCAATAAGCCAAATACTCAGAGAGCAGGAGCGAGAGTGTCCTGAGTTCCAAGCCATCCTGGACGATGCACTATGAGACAATGTAAAGACAATGTAAATATATAAACAAAAAGGGCTGGGAAGGTGGCTCAGTGGTAGAGTGCTTGCCTTGCATGCATGAGGCCCTGGATTCAATTCCTCAGCACCACATAAGCAGAAGAAAACGGAAGTGGCACTGTGGCTCAAGTAGTAAGTGCTAGCATTGAGCTGAAGAGTGAGGGACAGTAACTGTAACCCCTCTGTGCAGTATTTTTACAATAGTATATATATATATATATATATATATATATATATATATATAAAATAATTATAGAACAATAAAAAAAAGAGTGAGGGACAGCGCCCAGGCCCAGAGTTCAGACCCCACAACTGACAAAAAATATAAATAGATTAAATAGATAAACAAAAAGTATTTCCCACTATAACAGGGAGTTCATGACTTTATATATAAAGTTGGAAACACTAATGGGAAAGTCTTTTCTTTCTCTGAGCCATTGTACCTTCCTATGAAAGCTTGGTATCTGAAGGCACACCGACCTAGGTTGCTTTTATATAACCCTAAAGACATTATTCTACCCTACTGAACTTCAACTTCTCCTCTTCACATAGTAAGGTATTGGGAAATATTGATGAGGTCATGCAAGTAATTCCCTTAACATAGCATGTGAATTGTTCTTTGTTGTTGTCCTGGCTTAGTGTCCTCCTGGAGGCCAGACAGAGGAGGTCACCACCACTGTGCTGCTGGAGACCTTCATCAAATAACCTATTAAGTGCAACTCAGCCCTTAAAAGGGTTACTCCCCAATGGATGTGGTGACCTTGATCAAGATATATTAAAATCATAAAATGACTTACAGAATTGAAACCTCTTTGTATAATTATAATAATAATAGTAATAGTAATAATAATGAGTTACTTCTTGGAATTGAAGTCATAAATCCTTGTGATTATATAAAGAACAAAGAACTTATTCCAAAGAGTTTCCTCTGTATCTTGGCATCTCCTAGTTACAGCTAACTTCTTGTTTTAAAACACTGGTACAATGAAGAAAAAGTTCAGAAAATCCACTTCACTGTACTATACAGAAAAATCAGAAAAGCCTCCCTTTTGATCACATTGTGTGCGGACAGTTCACTTTCTTTTTTTTTTTTGGTCGTGGGGGCTGAACTCTGGGCCTGAGTGCTGTCTCTCAGCTCTTCAGCTCAAGGCTAGGCTAGCACCCTACCACTTGAGCCACAGCACCACTTCTGGAATTTTCTGCTTATGTAGTACTGAGGAATTGAACCCAGGGCCTCATGCATGCAAAGAAAGCACTCTACCACTGAGCCAACTTCCCAGTCACAGTTCATTTCTTTATTACACATTTGAAGCAGAAAAAAAATGTACCCAAAAGTCAAGGAAACACCATGTTACTTCATTCTAAAGAGCCAAAGCACTACTCTCTTGTGTCATTAGAAGACACTCCTCACAGAGCCCTTGTTCTCAGTCTGTTTCTGTCAGTGGCACGTGATCATCCCACAGTCCAGCATACCTTGGCCTGTTTTCCAAAACACTATACCATGCATCTGTCCAGACACTCCAATGGCCCCAACTCTCTGGAGCTGATGCTGGGGAAGGGCAGCAAGGCATTCGTTTAGGGCCTGGATGATTCTACTCACATTCTGCTCCCGACCCTGGAAAAATAACAAGAAACAGTGGGCATGGGTAGATAAGATTAGGGAGTTTCCTGGAGGGTAGATTGCCCTGCTCATTGAACCAGGGTCACAAAAAATAAAAATTGAAAAGAGGAGAGAGGAGGAGAGAAAGAGAAAGACAAGGGAAAGGAAAAAGAAAGAGGGAGGGGGAAAGGGGAATAGGGGAAAAGGGGAAGAGTTGGGGGGAAGGGGGGAGAGAGGGGGAGAGAGAGAGAGAGAGAGAGAGAAAGAGAGAGAGGGATGGAGTGATGGAGGGAGGGAGGGAAGGAAGCAGAGAGGGAGAGGGAGAGAAACCAATTCCAATCAATGGATGGGAGTCACAGAGTGACTCCAAACAGGTAATGACGAAACAAAAAATATCCAGGCTCTGTGACCTCCTCATCCTTAAAATATTAAGTCCCTATTAGAAACTTTGCACCCCATTCCAGGAAGGCCTACAACTAGAGCTCACCCTGAAGTGCTTTAGTCCTTTGGGCCTTTCTTAGCAACATCTTCCCAATACCCTCAAACATGGTATTGTTTTTTGTATACTGAATGATTTGATCTAAAAGAAATTAAAAGGCTTCAAAGTTGAGAGCACCCCATGTCTCTCCCTGAGAGCACCTACACTCTGTTAAGAGTGTGCCCCTCCCCTTCTCTGTGTGTTTGTCTGCTTTTTGTCTGTCTGCTTACTTACTTAATAAAGCTCTGCCAAGTTTTCTTTAAAAAAAAAAAACAACATTTTTTTTTACTAAATATATACATTGTTTATCTTCAACAACTGTTCTTTTGCAATTGCAACAGAAATTCCCCACAACATAATTTGTATTGCTTTGTATTACTTGCCCTTTGGAACTCCTCCTTTCCCTATCTTCTTTGGAAAAGTGATTCAGATCTAGCAGAAGCTGCGCCTTCCAAACTGCAATCCCAGTGTGAGTTTGAATTGACAAAGTACAAGTACCTCTGCAAAAATAGATTAAATGTATAACTGCTGTTTAAAATATCTGAGGAGGCAGTGTTATATCTCAAAGTTAAAGCACTTGCCTACTCTGGGTTTGATCCGTAGCACTACAAAAATGCAAACCAAAAATACAAAACACCGAGATTTTGGGGGGCTTGGGGGAGGGGTTGAAGGTCATGCAGCTTGAACTCTGGGCTTGGGCGCTGTCCTTGCCCTCTTCAGCTCAAGGCGAGCACTCTACCACTTGAGCCACAGCGCCACTTCCGTTTTCTAGTGGTTTCTTGGAGATCAGAGTCTCAGGGACTTTCCTTCCCGGGCTGGCTTTGAACCATGATCCTCAGATCTCAGCCTCCTGAGTAGCTAGAATTACAGGCATGAGCCACCAGCGCCCGGCTTGAGATTTTTGTTCTGTCACATTGGGGTCTCAGGAATCAAACCCATGAAGTTAAGCATGCTAGGCAAGAGCACTCTACTACAAGTTACACACTCAGCATTTCTCTTTCTTTTAGTTTTCATTTTGTTTTGGATTTTGGTATTAGATTTCTTTCTTCCTTTTTTTTTTTTTGCCAGTCCTGGGGCTTGAACTCAGGGCCTGGGCACTGTCCCTGAGCTTCTTTTGCTCCAGGCTAGCACTCTACCACTTGAGCCACAGCACCACTTCTGGCTTTTTCTGTTTATGTGGTACTGAGGAATTGAACCCAGGGCTTCATGCATGCGAGGCAAGCACTCTACCACTAAGCCACATTCCCAGCCCTTGCTTTTTGTTTTGGTTGTTGTTGGTGGTGTTGGTGGTGGTGGTAGTCGTTGGGCTTGAAATCTAGGCCTGGGCACTATCCCTGAGTTCTTCAGCGCAAGGCTAGCGCTCTACCACTTGAGCCACAGTGCCACTTCCAGCCTTTTCTGTTTATGTGGTACTGAGTAATGGAACCCAGGGCCTCATGCATGCAAGGCAAGCACTCTACGGCTGAGCCACATTCCCAGCCCCCTAATGCTATTTATTAATAGAACAATCTTTATAAGCTAAATTTAAAAGCTTATATAGGAGCTGGGGTTCTACTACTTATTTTTATTTCAGCCAAAACAAGCTATTTCTGAAAAATAAAAATTACCTCAAGGCACAAAAGAAACTAGCTTTTACCAACCAAAGGGATCCCCAGACAACTCAGAAACCAGTAAGAAATATGGCACAACTCTCAACAAATGCTGATTCTATGGGGAAGGAAAAAGGCTTGCGGCCTGGAAACATCCAGAGTCCTGGAGATCCTGGTTCCCTCCAGGGAGTGCAGCTTTCTCCTCCCAGGAGCAAACCTGTTAGCTTTGCAGAGCATTCTCTGCTTCTAAGAACATGAAATAAGGATCAAAGAGGAAGGGGTGTGTGGTGTGTGTGTGTAGAACAAAGAGAAAGGGAGGGGTGTATGTGGTGTGTGCAGAAAGAGCATTCCCTGCTTCTAAGGAGCATGAAATAAGGAACAAAGAGGAAGGGGTGTGTGGTGTGTGTGTGTAGAACAAAGAGGAAGGGGTGTGTGTGTGTGTATGTGTGTGTGGTGTGCAGAGACAGAACAGCATTTCCTGAGGAGGCAGCCCACATCAAGACAAGGATTTGGGGGGGGGGGGGAAGGGGGGGCGTCCAGTCATGGGACCTGAACTCTGGGCCTGGGTGTTGTCCCTCAACTCTTCAGCTCAAGGCTAGCGCTCTACCACTTGAGCCACAGCTCCATTTTGGCTTTTTTCTTTTTGCTTATATGGTGCTGAGGAATCGAACCCAGGGCCTCATGCATGTAAGGCAAGCGCTCTACCACTTAGCCATCTTCCCAGTCCAAGACAAGGATTCTTTATATATGGGAAGGATAACAGCAGGTGTTCAGGAGTTGTCCTGAACAACAGCACTCAAGACAAACAAGCACAGAGGAGCCACCAGGCCACACATGATTCCCAAAGAGGAAAAAAGAAGACTGGGCAAGTGGACCTCCACTGTCCAATATAGCAGTCATCAGCCATGTACAGCTAGTCTGAATTGAGAGGTATAGGCATGAAACATATACAGGTTTAGAGTTTGTATGGGAAAAAAAAGGATACTAAGTGTCTTGTTAATTTTTTTTCAGTTGTAGTGCTTGAACTCTGGGCCTGGGCACTGTCTCTCAGCTCTTCAGTTCAAGGTGAATGCTCTATCACTTGAGCCACAGTGCCACTTCTGGTTTTCTTATGGTTTATTAGAGATAAGGGTCTCAGGGACTTGCTTTGAACTGTGATCCTCAGATCTCAGCCTCCTGAGTAGCTAGGATTACAGGCATGAACCACTGGCTCCCAGCTCATTGATAAACTTCTGTCAGTCTATTGGTCACTACATGCCAAAATGATAATATATTGCATTATATAAAATATATGATAAAATTAATTTCAACTGTTTCCTTTTACTTTTTTTCTCAGTACTAGAATTTGAACCCATGCCTTCACATTTGCTAGGCAAGTACTCTACTATTTCAGCCATACCCCCAGGGGTTTTTTGCTTTTAGTTTTGGGTGGTAGTTTTAGGTTAGGAGGTGAGGGGGCAGTCTTGGATTTGTTTGTTTGTTTTCCAGATAGGGTCTCCTGCTTTTGCCTAGGGATTCAGACCTCAAGGGTCCTACCCCTGCCTCCCAAGCAGCTGGGACTACAGGTATCTGCCACCACACCTGACTTCCTTTTACTTAAATGTGACTACTCAAAAAATTGCACAAATGGCTCACATTTGTGTCTTGCACTTGTATTAGAAGGTAGTAAAGAGTATTCACATGGACAGATCATCATATATCATCTCAGAACAAATCAGCCATAGTTAAAAGGAGCCTGAGGGTAGGTAAATTGTGAGAATGAAGCATACAGACTAGGGAAACAGGAAAGATAGGAGTGAAGATGAAGTACTGTGTGGCAGGCAGTCAGTTCCAGTTTCAGCAGTGTGGTCAGAGGAACAGAAAGTACACACACGCCCACTGCATGATAGGACAGCTCTTGCCATTATTTCTTAGTTCAAAATATCACCCTATATCCAGATCAAACCCTAGAATTTTAGACTTGAAAAAATAATTAAGGCACTCACATGCTCTCATTCCTAAACCCTTTGTTTATAGCTGAAGAGATTGAAACCCAGAAGACAAATAACTTGAGACAGGATCATTGAGCTTTCCTTAAGACTCTTTTGTATTTTAGCCAGGTGTAATGGCACACAATGTGAACGAAGTCCCCATTTAAGGGGACATTCAGACAAATACCAAGATCCAGGTGAAACAAGTGAGCCTAGTGCTCCAGAACAAGCATGTGAAATGAAGGAGGGAATCAAGCCCGAGAAAAGGACAGACAGAATGCAGATGTGAAACAGGAGAGTGCAAGCGGTGCCCATGGCCTCAAATTTTTAAAGTATGGTCTAAAGAAGGAATAAAATCCCCACTAGCCCTGTCCCTAAGTCTATAGTTACACAGAAGTAGCAGCACCAACAGCAGTAGTGCTATGCTCCTTTAGCTAGCTCCCCATCCTGTCTCTCTTGTACAGGTGTCCTAATAAACCTTTGCTCCTTCTATTCTCCTGTCTTGGTAAATTATTCTTACCAATCCACAACCTTAGCTCTAAATATCCAGGACACATAGTTTTGATTCCAGTGTTCCAGAGACTGAGGTAGGAACCAGCCTAGGTTATATAGCAGAACCTTACTCCTAAAAGAGGAGGGAGGGTGGGTGGAAGGATCAACAAAGAAAGAAAAGGAAAAAAAGATTTATCTTAAATTGCAAAAACCTACAAACTTGATCATCTGAACCTCTGCCAAGTTTAATCTTGGTATACACAGTACTAATGGTGAGTGAAAAGGATGAGCATACACGAGCAAAGAGCTTAGCCATCTGGTATTCCTATAGATGGTATTTCTACTTGGGGTGATTTAGTTCTTAGGGGACATTTCACAATAAGGACATATTTTTGGTTATCACATCTGGAAGGGGAAAATGCCACTAGCACCTAATGGGCTAAGGTTGGAGTTACTGCTAAACAACCTACACAAGATAGTACCTACAACCAAATGTCAACAGCCCAAATGTCAACAGTGCCAAGGCTGAGAAACCTGCCATAGATGAAATCACAATGTTGTTTGTCATAAATAAGTATAAAGGGAGACAGATAATTACTGCCACCCCCATGCCCTTCATTGGGCAGGTGTGACATACTGGGTGTACCTGCAAACAGAAACAGCTTGCCTGTAAACCAGGCACCAATGGCTCATACCTGTATTCCTAGTTACTCAGGAGGCTGTGATCTGAGAATCAGAGTTCAAATTAAACTCCAAAAAGATGGAAATGGAACTGTGGCTCAAGTGGTAGAGTAACAGCCTTGAGTAGAAGAGGCTCAGGGACAGCACCCTGGGCCTCAGTTCAAGCTCAAAGACTAGCACAAAAAAAAAAAAGTGATCCTGGACTGGGTATGTAACTCTACAACAGAGCAGAGCAGAAAGCACTTGTCTAACATGCATGGATTGAACCCTAGAATTGGGAGGGAGAGGAAGGAAGAGAGATGGGGGGGGGGAGGGGGGAGAGAGGGAGGCAGTCCAGTGCCTGAAGTTACTGTCCTGTAATCCCAGTTCAGATGCTCACCTCCACAATGTCAGAATCAACTTTACCTCCATTTCACAGTCCCTAAAGTGAAATAAATCACTCTAAAATACCAAGGCCTCAACCAGAGTACTTTTAAAAGCCTCTCTCAAAATGCAAAGTGTTCTTCAAATCTTTATCCTCTGAAATGTTTCCCAGAAAGATGGATTCTGAACCCTAAAGAACTGAGTCCACAAGAGCTTAGGAAAAACAAAGCTCTTGGGGGTAGGGCTCGGCCCCAAAAATGCCAATTTGTGGCTGGAAGAGGACTTAAAGGTCACCTATTTCAACTCAAGAGAATAAGCTGAGGCCCAGAAAACAACCAAAGGTTACACGGAAAGTTCCCTGGTATTCATTTCTATCGTTAATTGGTTGTACAGAGTTACTTTTGCAGGGTCCCCATTTGTGAGGACTGAAATCCTTTCTGAACCCACCCGCATCTCTCCTGGCTTCACAAGCCACTGGTTGTGATGCATAATTATCGATCTTTTTAAAAATCAGTATTTTAATCCACTTATCTGTGTCTTCCTACCAGTTCTGGTCTTTCCTCCAGAGTGTCTGTTTTTGGAGCTGACAGACTTTGGCTAATCAAGTGAGTGTTAGTTGCGGTTATATTCGGTTCTAAGGAATGAAAGGAGCCTGTTAGGCCTGATTCTGCATCAGATTTGCTGAAGATAACTCCCAGGGAACAAACTGACCCTTGAACTATGGACATAGGGCAGACATGAGCTGCAGCGTACAGCCAGGGTAGGAGAGGCCTGTGGTCATTCTACACGCACAGGAGGGCGATTCCTCGAAGCCAAGGTACAGAAAGTAGAGGGCAGAGAGTACTGGAAGCCAGCGCCACAAGTGGGGTGCTGCCACCGAGCAGGGAGCCCATTGACAACAGGTGGCAGGCTCGGAGCGGGGCTGCGGCAGGCAGCCAAGCCTCAGAAGGAGACAGCGCAGGCGGACGGCAAACAGGCTACTGCAGGGGCGGGGAGGAGGGAGCCCCAGCGGGAGAGTGTGGCAGGAAGGCCTCACGGAGGAAGGCGTCGAGAGCCCCCGGGGCGGCGGGTCCGGGCGCTCCTCACCTGGGACCCGGCAGCCACGCACTCGACCTCCGCCCGCGCTGCCCGGGAGTAGCTCGCCAGTACCAGGAACCCAGATGGATGGCCGGGTGCAGCCTCCAAAAGGGCTGCCTTCACAGACGTGGTGCCCAGGTCGAGGCCGAGAGTGACGGGCCGCACGGCCATGGCAGCGGGAACCCAGGCAGCCCGGGTAGCGAGCGGTGGCGTAGCTCCCTTCACCCCGCAGCGAGGCACAGGGAAAGCTACCCGACGCCTCTCACCCACATTCAATATGGCGGGCTCTCGCCTTACCATTGGTCGAGCGAAGAGGACGCCCGCCACGGGTTTCGGGGATAGGTGGAAAGCAGGGAGGAGGCGGGACCCAGAAGGACCCGCCCAGTAAGGCTAAGGTTCCGGGACCACCTAGTGCTGTCTGGGCCTCTCACCCCAAACGAACTCTGATTTCACCACTTGGGGAAAGAGGCTCTGAGATCCTTTTGTCCCTAGTCGTGGCTCGTCTATTCTCATAACTGAGCCCTTGTCCCTGCCCTGGCGCCCGCCAGTGCCCTTCCTTCCTGCCTTACTCTGTCCCGCTAAAACAGACCCGTGAAAACTACAACTCCCAGGGTGCCTCGCGCGGAGCTCGGCCTCCAGGAGTCAGGTGGCGCCGGTCAGGTGACCGCGGGCCCGCCCCGACACAAGACCACCCGGCCGGGGGCATCTCCGTGCACTCCGAAGCTACCTCTGGCGCGTGGTTTCTGCGTCCGGTGAGATCGGTCCCCGAGCCCGGGAGGCTGTCAGGTGAGCAAAGGCGCGGCCCCAGGGTCTCCCCCCCAGTTTCCCAAGCAGACCCTTGAGACCCAGAGACTGGCCTCACGCCTCGGTGGGACAGCCTGCTGCCGGTCAAGCTCCGCTCCGCCGCCCCTGGACTCCAGTGGCACCGACGACCACTCCACGCCCAGACGCCTGGACAGCCCTGGGCTGAAGGGTCTGGGTGAAGGTGCATGAAGGCGGGACCACTGGCCGGGATGCCAGGGTGATGTGGGTGGCTCTCCTCGCTTCCTGCTGCGTTGCCTCCTGAAGCTGGGTTGGAGAGTATGCACGTTGTTTTGGAAAGGCGAGATCCCCAGAGGACCATTCCCTGGAGCTCCTGCTGACACTTGTCCAGTGCTGGGCTCCAGGGGACTAGGCAGGAGGAGACGCCCCCCCCACACCCCCCGCCTTCTTGGGTTCTTAGACAGGAGGACACCTGGGCCCTGCACTGAGGAAAGTGTTAATCAATGCCGTGTGATTCCTTGGTAAGTATGCTGGGCTATGGTAACGATCACATTACATCATTCCATCATCCACCGCCTTGAAACTTTAATACAGCTGATAAGCTGTATGTATGTTTTATGACCCTTGGGAGCCCTAAACCACTGTAAAATCTTACCCTTTTTTTTTTTTTCATATGCCAAGAGCTGATTTTAGTTTCCTTTGAAAATGCAAGCCTTACATCTCATTTAAATTCATTCCTGTTGTCCCATTAGGAAGTCGGGAAGTTAAGTAGCACCCAAAAATCCCACAACAAATAACTATGCCCACGTTGGAACCTGCCCAGCCAGTCTCCAGCCACACATTCCTTGCCACGTTTGTTGTTACCTCTCCAGAAAGTTCCAGATGGTGGGACAGACATACCTGTCCTTTGTGACAGGAAGGTAGCCACTGGAGGCATCTGCATCCAGGCTGCTCCCAGGAGAGGAGGGAGGAGTGGCAGAGGTTCTTGAAACTGTTGATACCTGAGTGAGACCTGGAAGAGAGTTAAAACTTACAGCAGAAAAAAGCACATCTGCTGGTCATCCGTGGCTCACACCTGTAATCCTAGCTACGCAGAAGGGTGAGATCTGAGGATCATGGTTCGAAGTCAGACCTGGCAGAAAAGTCCCCAAGAGACTCTTATCTGAGGAGCCTATTGTCACAATGAAGTGCTCAGTGGTTGTTTTTTGTTTTTTGTTTAGTTTTTAAAGTTGGATAACAAAAGCTTAAAACAACAACATCAAGCAAAAGGAACAGCTAAGAACTGTTAAAATATTGCCTGTGGTAGTCTCTCTGCTCTCTCTCTGCTCTCTCTGCTCTTTTCTAGCTCTTTCCTTCTCTTCTCTTTCCCGGCTCCCTTCTCTTTCCTAGCTATCTCTTTCCCACCTTTCCCAGACGCTCTATTTTCTAGCTCTTTTCTCTCTTTTCTAGCTCTTTTCTCCCTCTTTCCCAGCTCTCTCTCTTTCCCAGCTCTCCCAGCTCTTTATCCCAGCCCTTTCCCCACCACGTGGGGGACCAAGATGGCCTGGTGCCAGCCAGAATGATGAATAAACCTACCCCTTACCTGAAAAAAAAAAAAAAATTGCCTGTGGTGAATACAAGATAGCCTCATCAAAATAATAAATAAGTATACAAATTCCTAATGGGAAAATTATGTCAGCATATTAGTTACAGAAAATATCACAATAATTAAGATAGCCACTAAAGAAAAAAGTTGAAATTTAGTTGCTGAAGAAAATGTAAATCAACCCTGCTAGGTCAATAATGTTTATTTGTAAAACTTCAAACTAGATAGTAACTTATCTTAGGGAATTAATCTCTTAGATTTTGAGGCAATTTCCTTTTCTTTGAAATAATTTCCTTTTAAGTAAAATAAGTTGTAATTTGACTAAATGCATTCAGTTTCCAAATACTTTTTCAAAACGGATCTGTGAAATCATTAAAATGTTTTAAATTTGTAAAATAGATATAGAAAAGGTAAAGTAAATCAATGATAACATGACTTGAGTGAACTCAGCGTACAATCATATTTTTTGGAATTTGATAATGAAACAAAACTTTAAGCAGATAGAAACTAACATTGAACAATTTACTCATCTATTTCTACAGTGGGATTTTTTGTCACCATGTCATAATGGATGAAGTGCTCGGTTTCTGTCTTGTAGCTTCCACCAGCCGTTAGTCATATGTGATATCAAATCTGAATTTTTTCAGCATTAAGATCAACTTACTGGTTAATGCTTTTCTGTCTGTCCAGAGTGTCTCATCCTTTGGCATTGAGGGACTTTTGCTGACACAGTTTCATTTTCCATGTTTTGCTTTCAGTAGAATGACAGATGTTTTACGGAAGTGATACTAATTTTAAAAAAAAATTTTATTGTGAAAATACTGTACAGAGGGGTTACAATTGCATAGGCAAGATAATGGGTACATTTCTTATCAAGCATTGTAGCCTCCTCCTTTGTTTCCCCTTCCCATCCCATCCTTCCCCCCCCCCCCCAAATCCACACCCCCACCCCCACCCCCGCACCAAAGTTGTAAAGTTCGTTTTCTACATAACGACTTGTACATCATTGTTGCAATGGGTCCACCTGTATGTATCCCTATTTAAACGATTTGTTTTTCCCCTCCACAAATTACACCGACATCAAATACAGTGAAAGCAAGGGTTATACTGTGGGGGAGGGACACACAAAGCAACAAAGAAATACTCTTATAAATATGTTAGAAACAATCGCATGAAAGAAAAAAACATTTGAATACATATCTTAGGGTTCATTTCCCTAACATTAACTTAAATTTTTTTATAATCACATTTCACCTTTATTTTAAAGTACTGATTAATTTTAAAAAAATTTTAAACACAAAACTGCATTGTGTTAACTAGGTTACAAAAGGCAATTGAGGGAAAAAGATAAGGCTTGTGTTCACTTCCTCAGAATAGGACTTTGCACAACCCACTTAGCTCTGAACTGGTTTTCCTATGTATCAAAGAAAGATAAGCCCTTTCTGGAGGTCCCCTTTTCTGACACTATGATGTCAAATCCTTGAGGTCAGAGATGTGAAAGTCTTTTTTTTTTTTTTCTTTTTCTGCCAGCCCTGGAGCTTGAACTCAGGGCCTGGGTGCTGTCCCTGAGCTTATGTTCGCTGCCCCCTGCCACGTGTGTGTGTTTGTGTGTGTACACACACGCGCGCATGTGTGCACATGTGCAAAGCTACAGCTCTACCACATGAACCACAGCTTTACTCCTAATTTCTTTGTGGTTAATTGATGTAAGTCTCATGGACTTTCCTGCCCAGGCTGGCTTTGAACCTTGATCCTCAGATCCGAATCTGAGCTACTGGCGCCCAGTTGCAAGTCTTTTATGAGCTGTCTTATTGTTGTGGTTCCAGGTGGTATATTGTCCACTTGGAGCTGAGTTGATTTCAACCTTAACATGAATTTCGCTTGCTGTTTGTTTTTCTTCCTAGTTCTGAGAAATCAGAGAACATGATAAGGAATTTGCTGCTTATTTTTATCCTTTTTCCCCTGAATCTCATAACGAATTGTGGTAAGTTTTTGAATGGTTTGTCAACTTTGTGAAAAAAAGAAAATATATATACATATATAGAGAGAGAGCGAGAGAGAGAAAGAAAGAAAGGAAGGAAGGAAGGAAGGTTGAATTAGGTAACTTTCAAGTTTCCTTCCAACCTGAGCATCTTAAAATTTCACATCTCATTTCTTCATCTTCTGCCTGTAAGGGGTTTGGACAGATAAAAGCTGAGCCCTGTCTGCAGACTCTATCCCTTGTAAGGAGTTGGGTTCTTGCTCCCCTACTTTGGGTGTCCTTCCCATCCTAGTCTAGATTCATTATCATAATCTAAGGTATGTGTAATCCCAAAAACAAGGAAGCAGGGGACATGAGATTGGCAGGTTTGGCATGGGGCTTTTATCACACATGGGAAGGGGACAAGAAGTGGGAAATGGGTTACTGAAAGAACACAGGAATAGCTCAAACTAATAGTTCTGTTCGGTTACAAGGATGCTCTTAGTCATTTCACCTAACAATACGTTATCCACTTTTTTCCTTTAATTTTTTTTATTTGGGGGTTGGAGGATTTTGTTATTGTTGTTTTGTTGTTGTTGTTGTTGTTGTTGTTCTTATTTCTGTGCTGAGTTTTGAACACAGGGCCCCTCACTCTCCCTTAGCTATTTTCTTTTTCTTTCATTCAAGTCTGGCACCTCCATATCCAGTGATACACTTTTTTCTATCTTCCTCTTTTTTTTTTTTTTTTTTTGGTCCAGTTGTGGGGCCTGAACTCTGGGCCTGGGCGCTGTCCCTCAGCTCTTCAGCTCAAGGCTAGTGCTCTACCACTTGAGTCACAGCACCACTTCCAGGTTTTTTCTTTTTGCTTATGTGGTGCTGAGGAATCGAACCCAGGGCCTCAGGCATGCAAGGCAAGCGCTCTACTGAGCCAACTTCCCAGCCCTATCTTCCTCTTTTTTTCCCTCGCTCATCTTCCTTCTGTTCTTCCTTTCTCCTCTTCCTTTTGTTCTTTGTCTTCCTCTTCTTCCTTCTCACCATGTATTCTAATCATACACTCTTCTACTGGCCCATGCCTCCAGACTCCCAAGTTAGTTTCCTAAGGCCAAACTTGTTCCCCCATCATCCTGAAGGCCTCTTTGTCTCAAGCTAACACCTTAATGTCAATAAGCCCCTGTTTGCTTGTCATTCTCCTCCAGTCTCCAGATAGACATACAGAAAGATCATACATTGGTTGGGTAAGTCAGGAGGGAAACCCAAAAGGCTATTTAGAAACATGTTAGCTGGACCTCTGCATCTCTGAAAATGCAAGAATGGATTGAACCAATTCTTTGTGCTGTTTTGAGCCCCACAAATAGGGAAGACCTCTGTTCTATCTGTCTAAAAGGTGGTTCATCATATACAGAACCAGATGGTGGCTTGAATTCCTTTGTGATAATTTCTGGGTTCTATGGTTCTTAGACTCTCTGGGTAATTGGGTAGCAAGTTCTCAGAGTCTGTCAGGAGAAAGAGATGATGCCAGCATCATCTTCATTGTCTGGCAGTAGATAGGGAAGGCACAATCAGTGGTCTGAAGGTCTAGTCCCCTCATGGAAACCTCCAACCCCTCTGCCTCCCTCTCTCTCCCTCCTCTCTCTCTCTTTCTGGTGTGTGTGCATGTGTGTATCTGTAAGATAGTGTGACTGTGAGTACTGGGGCTTAAACTCAGAGCCTCACACTCTTGCTTAGCTTTCACTTGAACCACAGTTCCACTTTTGGCTTTCTGGTGATTAATTCAAGATAAGAGTCTTGTGGGCTGAGATCTGAGGATCATGGTTCAAAGCCAGCCTGGGCAGGAAAGTCCATGACACTCTTATCTCCAGTAAACCACTAGAAAACTGGAAGTGGCGCTGTGGCTCAAGCAGTAGAGCACTTGCCTTGAGCTGAAGAGCGCAGGGACAGTGCCCAGGCCCAGAGTTCAAGCCCCACAACCAACCAACCAAAAAAAAAAAAACCTCGTGGATTTTCCTGTCCCCACTGGCTTCAAACCTTGATTCTCAGATCTTAGCCTACTATCTAGGATTACAGGCATGAACCACCAGGGGTGGTTTCATTTAGAAAATAGGACTGTCAGTGAGTCAGGGTTCATGAGTTCATATATCAGGGACCTCATACCTGTTTCTCATGGGCCTGTACTCTGACTGAATAATTCATGTCATCAACTTGGGTCTTTTCAGAATCTACTTTCAGCCTCACCGTCCCTCCCATTGTGAAGCTGGAAAATGGCAGCTCAACCAATATCAGCATCACCCTTGGGTAAGTTCTCTGGCCTGGCCTTGGACAGACCCTGTGGACTTTTATTTTAGGTATAACACTTGCTTTTAGCTATAGACAAGCCATTCAGGGAGCAGTGAGACCAGCCTGGGGCTACCAAGCAGGTTCTTGGAGCACCATACTGAGCCTGTGGTTCCACTGGGGGGGAAGAGAAAAGGAAAATATACTGCTTTTCTCTAAGACTTGAGCCTTCCCCCATACCCTGCCCCATGACAATCCTTGAGTGAATAGCAGTAGATGGCCTAGACCCTTTCCAAGATTATAAATATTTCAGGCCAAGGGAGCTGAAGTACTGGCCAGCACTGCTGAGGTCACATGCTAAATCAGAAGTGACTGCAACAGAGGATTCCATAGTGCTGCTAAACTAGTAGTGACTGTATCAGAGGATTCCATAGTGCTGCTCATTGCTTGGCCTTTGTTGGTGGAGTGTCATTTGCTGACACCTACTGGTTTTGATGTCACAGCAGTCTCCACCTTGTGCAGAGTGTTCCTCTTCTCCCTTTGTCTCCCTTTGTTTCCCTTTGTGTCCTTTAGTGGTTTATCCTACTCATGCCTCTCAGCTATGAGAATACTCTAAGCTGAACACCTGGAATTCCTTCCTTTTTACATTATCAAAGATCAAATCTTAGCCAAGTGCTGGTGGCTCACACCTGTAATCCTAGCTACTCAGGAGGCTGAGATCTGAGGATCTTGGGTCAAAGCCAGTCTGGGCAGGAAAGTCTGTGAGACTCTTATCTCCAAGAAACCACTAGAAAACCGGAAGTGGCACTATGGCTCAAGCGGTAGAGCGCTAGCCTTGAGCTGAAGAGCATAGGGACAGTGCCCAGGCCCAGAGTTCAAGCCCCACAGCCAACCAAAAAATAAAATAAAAATAAGTAAAAAAATAAAAATCAAATCTTTACTCTGATCTCAAACCAATACTTCAGCTTCCAGGCCCCATCTTGGACCTCCAGTTTCATTCCCATATCCCAAATCTCTATACATACCCACCCACATGGTATAGATCATGTAAGTCATCTTTTACCTCAACTCTCCCCTTACCAGAATCCTTCCCTGTTCCCCACTGCCCTCTATAAAGTAATTCTTCTGTTCCCAGAGGTTTCAGTGCTTTTCATTCAAATGCTGACTTTCTTATAATACCCTGCTTAAATCTAACCCTTTCTGGGAAACTTGTCCCACTAGAGCAGGGAGACATGGGCCTGTTCACCTCTGGGTACCTCCGCTATCATTCTCAGCCCGTTTGCCACCTTCTCATATTCTCATCCTTTACTAAAGGGACTTTCAGTCTCCTGATTTAAAAAAAAAAAAAAAGACAACTGCTCCTCAAGGTTAAGCATGCAGCACTTCCTGCTCCTAATTACTAGAGAAATAAAAGCCCAGAAATGAAGTCTAGAGGGTTGATTGAGATCTCATTGGGCCCATTTTTCAGCAGTAATTAGACTCTTGTCTTCCATAGGTATCCATTAAATGCAACCTTACTGATCACTTTTGAAATCACATTTCGTTCAAAAAATATTACTATCCTTGATCTCCCTGATGAGGTAAGTAACAGATCTTAACTAGTGAGTAGGGAAAATGCTAGGAAACAAAACAAAAGCTACGGAAATATATGACGTATACTGTCCTTTTGCCATCGTTCTAGAAATCTGTGGGGTTTTTGTCTTTGTTGGTCTTTAGGGGAACGAATGTTTTTGTGCTGTGTAGGTTTTACTAAGTAGAACTAGAAAAATGAATGCAAGTCCATTAGGATGAATAGTTTCTAGAAAACTGTTGTACAGCATGATGACTGTAGTTGGTAATAAGATTATTTTTTATTTTTTGCCAGTTGTGGGGCTTGAATTCAGGACCTGGGCACCATCGCTGAGATTTTTTTGTTCAAGATTAACACTCTACCACTTTGAGCTATAGCAACACTTCCAGTTTTTAGGTGGGTTAAGTAGTATGGACTTTCCTGCTGCCCAGGAAGACTTTATCAAACTGTGATCCTCAGGGCTCAGCCTCCTGAGTAGCTAGGATTACAGGTGTGAGTAGTCTTGCTCCAAATAAGAAGCCTGAGGCAAAGGTGGTTCCAAGAATGTAAAAGTTAGCCAGGCACTGGTAGCTCATACCTATAATCCCAGCACTACTCAGGAGGCAGAGATCAGAAGATCATGGTTCAAAGCCAGCCCAGGCAAGAAAGTCCATGAGACTCTTTATCTCCAATTAACCTCTAAGAATCCAGAAGTGGTGCTGTGGCTCAAAGTGGTAGAACACTAGCCTTGAGCAAAAGAGCTCAAGGACAGTACTCAAACCCCAAGTTCAAGCCCCACAACAACAACAAAAAAAAACAAACACGGTAGGTCATTAGATAGTTTGCTACTGCCTTGCTACATTCATAGACCAGCAGCATTAACCTTGCTTAAAAACCTGTGGGGCTGAGGATATTCAGTGGTAGAACACTTGCCTAGCTTGCATGAGGCCCCATATTTAGGCACCCCCACCACATCAAAAAAAAAAAAACTTTAATTAAACAGAATCACAGACCACAATCCCAAATACACTGATTCAGATTTTACTTGTTCACACCATTTCCAGATAATTGGGGTCCATATTAAGATTTGTGAAGCATTTGTATTGAGGCACCATTAAGTTGGATCACACTTGGAAAGATTAGTCCCAGAGGCTATCTGGTATAATAGTGGTAATCATTCATACCGTCATATATTTACTTATTTGTTTCTATCTTGCTTCTGTCTTAACAAGGATGTGAACCAGTTACTATTTAACTAGATAAAAGACTACCAGATCAGGGTTGAGGATTTAGCTAAGTGAAGGAGGACTTGTCTGGCAAGTGCAAGGCCCTGAGTTCTGTCCTCAACTCTGCAAAGAAAAGAAGAAAAAAAAGACTACCATAAGGAAGCAGCCTCCCAGGATCAATAAGAGTCCAAAATCATGTTAAGGGAAGTAAGTCAGGCCCATAGACAAAGAACACATTTTCTCTCATATGTGGAAGCCAGAATTACAGATACATAAGTAAACACTTTGGAGTGTACACAAATGTATCAAATGGTTGGAGTGTATACAGATGTACCAAATGGTCTAATTCCTTAGAAAGGCTAACTCACAGTCCAACAAAATAAACAGAAAATGGGTACTCGAAAGTGGAGGGGAGGTCGGATCAAGGGGAAGGGAATAGACAAATGAAGTGGGGGAAATGCAGTCATAAAATTCAATGCATATCCTTTAAAAATTAAGAAAATTGAGTGGTGTTGGATGTGATGAGGGAGAATAATGAAATAGGTGACAGTGATCAGGATGCACTGTATTCATAAACTGCTTTGTTGAATGGCATCTCCTTTGTACAACTACTTAAATAAAAACATTTTAAAAACAAGTTGAACACCAGTCAGTTTAAGATGGATAATTTGTGGAGATGTATTATATAGCAGGGTGACAACAGTTAATAAGTTGTAATATGCAGTCACACACCACAAATGCCATTTTGGTCAGTGAAGAATAGCGTATAGAGTAATAGTCCCTTAATATATCATCTAGTGATTTTGTAGCCATCTTAGTTTGTGCACATACACTCTATGCTGTTTGCACAATTATGTAATCACTTAATGACACAATTTTCAGGGTATAGCTCATTCTACAGGTACGCATGATTGTAGTTGAAAATTGCTAAGAGATTAAATCTTCAATATTCCTACCACACAAAAACTTATGTATATGAGATAATGGATATGTTAATTTTCTTGATTAACTCATGTAAAAATATGCACTTCACATTGTATGATATAAATATATGCAATTTTTTTTTTTTTTTTTTTGTCGGTCATGGGGCTTGAACTCTGGCCTGGGCACTGTCCCTCAGCTCTTCAGTGCAAGGCGAGCGCTCTACCACTTGAGCTACAGCGCCACTTCTGGTCTTCTGGTGGTTTATTGGAGATAGGAGTCTCACGGTCTCTCCTGCCCGGGCTGGCTTTGAACCGCGATCCTCAGATTTCAGCTTCCTGAGTAGCTAGGATTACAGGCATGAGCCACCAGCGCCCGGCAATATATGCAATTTTTTATGACAGGAGTTTGAACTCAGGGCCTTGTGCTTGCTCAGCTTGCTTGCTTGTCAGCACTCTACCACTTGCACATGCCTCCTTCATTTTTGTTGTTTATTTTGGAGATAAAGTTTCTGCCCAGGCTCGCTTCAAATCAGGATACTCCAGATTTCAGTCTTCTGAGTAATGAGGTTTATAGACATGAGCCACCAACTCCTGCATAAAATATACATTTTGTTTGTCAATTATGCTGTAATAAATCTGGGGAGGGGCAGGAAGAGAATAATGCAGGAATGAGCTTGATGGCCATGAGGCACATCCTGAGAATCTGGGATCTGACAAATCCCATTGCTGAGAGGAGCTTCAGAGTATCCCACTAAAGAGACTTTGTGTGAGAGGTAGATTTTACCTCCCCCACACGCTAAGTCCAATGTACAGTGCAAGGAAAGCTGCTGGTTCTAACAGCAGGTCTGACATGGCAGCCACCAGGGATCTGTGTGATCCATGTACACTCAGAGGAACAGATGCTGATCATTTCATAGCTCCAGACATTTAAGTGAAAAGATTCTCTTAAAAATAAACAAAAGTCGGGGGGCTGGGAAGGTAGCTCAGCGGTAGAGTGCATGCCTTGCAAACATGAGGCCCTGGGTTCGATTCCTCAGCACCACATAAACAGAAAAAGCCGGAAGTGGCACTGTGGCTCCAGTGGTAGAGCGCTAGACTTGAGCTGAAGAGCTGAGGGACAGCGCCCAGACCCACAGTTCAGGACGCATGACAGGCAAAATAAAAATAAAAGTCAAGTGTAATATCAAATAAGAAGAACATGACGCCAAAAGTATGGGCTATATGACTCCTTGTATAAAAAAAAGGTACCAACCCGGGCGCCAGTGGCTCATGCTTGTAATCCTAGCTACTCAGGAAACTGAGATCTGAGGATTGTGATTCAAAGCTAGCCTGGGCAGGAAAGTCTGTGAAACCCTTATCTCCAATAAACCACCAGAAAACTGGAAGTGGCGCTGTATCTCAAGTGGTAGAGCACTAGCCTTGAGCTGAAGACCTGAGGGACAGCACCCAAGCCCAGAGTTCAGGCCCCATGACCGACAAAAAAAAAAAAGGTACCAACACAAGTTACCCTGGGAGTCAGTAGCCTGGAAGAGATAGAACAGGACTTCTAGTAGGGAGCTGGATATGTTCCGTCTGCAGACAGGTCATCAAGTGTGATCTTTGTACTTTTCAGCATTGTGTCTATGTATAATATTATAGTTCAATTTGTATTCATTTATAGTTCAATTTTAAAGAATTTTAACAGTAAGCCAGGTGCCTGTGGCTCATGCCTATAACCACAGCTACTTGGAAGGCTGAGATTTAAAAGTCAAGGTTCAAAGCCAGCCCAGGTAATCAACCAGCAAAAGAGCTGGAAGTAGAGGTGTGGGTCAAGTGGTAGAGTGCTGACTATGAGCAAAAATGCTGAGCAAGAACATGATGGCATCAGTTCAAGTTCCACTACAAGGAAGGAACCTATTTATATATATATATATAATACCTATTTATATAAGTATATATATTTGTATAACTAAAGCCATACATATATATTATATATATACCTATTTCTACATATTTATATGAAAATCTTCATATATATCTTATGAAAAATTTCATAGGAATCTGAACCACCTTCTCAGGCTCCTGGTTGCTGGCCTTCCCTATCCAGCTTTTATCAGTCCTGTCCCTTACTTTACTTGTTTGTTTATTTATTTTTGGGTCTAGTCGTGGGGCCTGAACTCTGGGCCTGGGCACTGTCCCTCAGCTCTTCAGCTCAAGGCTAGCGCTCTACCACTTGAGCCACAACGCCACTTCCGGCTTTTTTCTTTTTGCTTATGTGGTGCTGAGGAATCGAACCCAGGGCCTCATGCATGCAAGGCAAGCGCTCTACCACTGAGCCACCTTCCCAGCCCCCTTACTTTATTTGTGAATCAGAGAGTCAAGTGGCTCATGAGCCTGGCCTTGTCTGTAAGCCCTGGTAATATACTTCAGCCCAACACATTATTTCCTCATTTGTCTAGGTAATATCTCCTTGGCTGCACTGTGAGAATTAAAAGCAGTAGAGGCAAATCTAAAGTGTCTGAGGTTGTACCTGGCAGGTAGGGAGCACTCAGTAAAGGCAGTGGTCATTATCATTTCATTGTACCTTGTTCTGGTCAATATCTGGTTGGTCCATTTGTTCCTGCCTTGCTCCAAAGGGATTTAGTAGCCATATACAAAATTGTAAGCAAACTCTGTTTAGGGATTTAGTGGCCATATACAATATTGCAAACAAACTCTGTGTAAGAGGGGGGGGAAATGAGGTGATAAGAAAAGAAAAGAGCCAAAAATGATAGCATATCACCAGAATGTAACTTCCAGGTCAGTCATGGTGGCATGCCTGTAATCCATGGGCAGTTCATGGTCCAAAGCTAACCAATATCCAAAAAATTACTAGCCAAGCATGGTGGCTCAAGTCTGTAGTTCTAGATACCTGAGAGGTGGAAATTTAGGGATTTCTGTTCGAGGCCTGCCTGGGCAGAAAAGTTCTTGAGACTCCACCTTAACCAGTGCGTAGGTGTGATAGCATATACCTATCATCCCAAGCTACAGGGAAGCAAAGATGGGAGACTCCCCAGGCATGGAGCAAGACCCTATTTGAAAATAACCAAGGCAAAAAGGGAGTAGTAGAATGGTTCAAGCGATAGAGCACCTGCTTAGCAAGCATTGGGGCCCTGAGTTCAAATTCTAATACCTAGTACTAACACACACACACACACACACACACAGCAGGGGGGAGGCGCAAAGAGTTGGAGGTATGGCTTATCGACTGCTTGCCTAGCAAATGAAATGCTCTGAATTCAAACTCAAATATTAAAAAAAAAAAAAAGTCACTTGCAAGACACAGACCACAAGTTGGACTTCATTTCCATTGCCAAAGCCCCCCATTTTCTGGGGCTTAAGACCAAAAACTAAATGCCTGAAGGATTCTCATTGAGAAGCCACTGTTAGCCTGGCATGATGGTACAGCTTGTAATCTTAACAATCAGTAGGTAAAAGCTGGAGGTCTGGAATTTGAGGCCACCCTGGGCTACCTAGTGAACTCCAGGTTAGCCTGAGCTGCATAATGAGAGCCTGCTTCAAAAGAAAAAGAGAAACCACTGCTATCTATGGGCTATATCCTCATAGACACAAGTGATCTGATAGGTTGAGAGTGCCACCCAGAGTATTATCTAGGGACCAATAGCCATTGAGGGCAGGAGACAGTTTGGTTCAATAAAGATACCATCTTTGTTGCTCTGCATGGATTTGTATCAGAAGGAATGATTTCAGAATGTGACGTCATAGGCGGGCTTCAAAACCTGTTTTCCTAGAGCAAGACTAGATAAATATTTGATGAAAATGAGGATGAGAACATTGTCCTTACCACATATCTGTGCACCTTTCTGTTTTTCCATGTGGTAGCCAGGCAGTGCATGGTAGATATCCTTCATGGGAATGGAGGAACCCAATAATGATGAAAGTAGCAATGATACAGATATAGTACATTTGTGACGTGATGTACTCATGGCCTGCCATGTGCCAGGTCTGTTCTGTAAGCTTGACGGAAGTTGTATCATTGTTAGTGACCCTGTCGAAGTCAATGCTTGATGTTTAGTTGTTCCCTAAAGTTTACAGATGAACAGAGATCAAATAGCTAGTAAGAGAAAGAGGGCCATCCCACACTCCTGTCCATTGTCCATTAGCTAGGGGAGGGCCTGAGTACCAGACTGCAATACTGAATGGAAAGCCAAAGAGAGAAGAGCTGGGGAGCAGGGGTCCAGTTGGTTGGCTAGCCCAGTACTGCCTTTGGTTAGGAAGCTCTTGGAAGGCAGGGACCATGTGTGCTATGTTCTCAGCCTGGAGCAAGGCACTTGTTTTGATAGATGGTCAATAATTACATATGGCCTCAGATCAAATTCAGTCTTCTTAACAGGTTGTAGTGCCTCCCGGAGTGACTTATTCTTCTTTCCAAGTGACATCTCAAAATGTTGGACAAGTGACAGTTCATCTGCATGGAAATCATTCCAACCAGACCAGGTAGGCTGGCCTCTGCCCCTGCGTGTGTGGACCACACATGATGGGAAGGGAGGCTGTGCTGAGCACAGACACATTGGGGTTTTCTTCAGAAAACTAGCCTCAGCTTATCCCATTCCCAACTCCATTCTAGCCCAAGAATACTCTTCTTAGTGATCCACAGCAGTGCTATTAGCATCATAAACCAGATGATTGGCTGGATCTACTTTGTGGCCTGGTCCATCTCCTTCTACCCTCAGGTGATCAAGAACTGGAGACGGAAAAGGTAACCTGCTGAGCCAGACCTGCAGCAGGCTCAAGTGGGGTGGTATGATGGGCATCTTTCCTGCCCTTTTGCAAAAGCTGTCCCTATAAGAAATCTCTACAGGAATCAAGATAGGACTTCAATGCTGGGCCTTTAGTCCCTCACCCAGTTCAACCCCATTCTGTGGAAGCAGTGACATGGCTCTTCTTCGCTAAGCAAAGAATGGACTGGGTGAACCCCAGTGTTAGCCCTGTAAGACTTGGGTATTCTGTCACACAGCCCTCAGCCCTGGACACTGAGCCACTCACTGTGATTTTATAGACAGAGTATAGGTGCTTCATAGACACTCTGGCCTCTTAGGGTACTTTGTGCGGTAGATGCTGCCTTCCTGAAGGAAGCCTCTAGGAGAAATATTTGGAGGAAGAGAGAAGGAACAAACTGGGTCTTAAGAGGTATGGTTGGAGGCTGGGAATGTGGCTTGTGGTAGACTGCTTGCCTAGCATTCATGAAGCTCTGGGTTCAATTCCTCAGTATACATACATAGAAAAGGTTAGAAGTGGTGCTGTGGCTCAAGTGGTAGAGTGCTAGCCTTGAGCATAGAGAGGCTCAGGAACAGTGCCCAGCCCTGAGTTCAAGCCCCAGGACTGGCAAAAAAAAAAAAAAAAAAAAAAAAAAGGCATGGTTGGCAGGGAAATGGTGTCTTACACCTGTAATTCTAGCTACTTAAGAGTCTGCGGGGCTGGGAAGGTGGGTCAGTGGTAGAGTGCTTGCCTTGCTTGCATGAGGCCCTGGGTTCGATTCCTCAGCACCACATACACAGAAAAAGCTTGAAGTGGGTGCTATGGCTCAATGGTAGAGTGCTAGCCTTGAGCTGAAGAGCTCAGAACAGTGCCCAGGCCCAGAGTTCAAGCTCCACAACCAGAAAAAAAAAAAAAAAAAAAGAGTCTGCGATCTGAGAATCATGGTTTCAAGCCAGCCCAGGCAAAAAAAATCCTTGAGACTCTTACCTCCAAATAACTACCAAAAAGCCAAAAGTCGAGCTGCAGCTCAAGTGATAGAGCACTAGCCTTGAGCAAAAAGCTCAGGAATTGGGGCTGAGAAAGTGGCTCAGTGGTAGAGTGCTTGCCTTGCATGTATGAGGCCCTGGGTTTGATTCCTCAGCACCATATAAGCAAAAAGGAAAAAAAGCTGGAAGTGGTGCTATGGCTCAAGTGGTAGAGCGCTAGCCTTGAGCTGAAGAGCTGAGGGACAGCGCCCAGGCCCAGAGTTCAGGCCCCACTACTGGACCAAAAAAAAAAAAAAAAGCTCAGGAACTGTACCCAGACCCTGAGTTCAAGCCCCAGGACTAGCAAAAAATAAAAAGGGGGGAGGGGTGTGGTTGGCTGATACCAGTTGTGCAGTAAGACCTAAGGACAGTGCTCTTCTCTGTGTGCCAGGAGCTCTGTCTCCTCCCTTCCCAGTGGTCCCTAGCCTCATCTTTGCCCTATTTCATTCCTCTGTCCCCTGCCCACAGTGTCATTGGCCTGAGCTTTGACTTCTTGGCCCTGAACCTGACGGGCTTTGTGGCCTACAGCGTGTTCAACATTGGCCTCCTGTGGGTGCCCTACATCCAGGTACAGTACTGCCCAGGCCCCACAGTCCACCAGAGCCACTTGGTAGCCAAGCTGCTGTCACCTCCCATCTTCCTTCCCCCTAACAGGAGCAGTTTCTCCAGAAACACCCCAATGGCGTGAACCCTGTGGACATTAATGATGTCTTCTTCAGCCTGCATGCAGTCACTCTCACTCTGATTGTCATCCTGCAATGCTGCCTATATGAGGTAAGAGATCAGGCCTGCCTTCATTCACCTGCATGAGCCAATATCCTTCCCATCCTACCCACATGGCACTGCTACCTGTCTTTCAGTGGAAGATGGGGAATACTCAGAAAGGAAGCATTCATCCATCCACCCATTCATTCATTCATCAGCATCTCCTTCCTGGGCCTAGAGAATGGGTCAGACCCTGTACTAACAATATGGAACACTGCATGTCTGGGGTGAGGGACATAAAGAGAGGCAGTATAGAGAGTGTGGTATGGAGTGGATTGGAAACACAGACAGTTAGTAGAGGCCTGAGCCCACCCAGGGAGAGAGGATGGCAAAGGAAATGCTTCTAGTAATCCAAGGGTTAGTGAAGAACCCATGCTGAAGAGAAAGGGAGGACGTTTTTCTTGGGGAGCAGGTGAGAGGAACTATGAGCAGTAACTGTAGCCAGGGTTCTGAGTACCTATGGGGGAGCTGTTTTCCAAAAGGCCAGGAGCAACCAGGACTCAGCCTTGTTACTGGAGGACTGTGGGATCTCAGCAGGGAAGACATCCTTAGGAGACCCCAGTGTTTCAGAGGACTCTTGAGGTGCCAGCTTTGCTTTCGCTCTCCCATGGTGCACCTCATCCCTTTTACCCTGTGTGAGGAGTGGGGTTGCATGGCTTCCAGGAAGGTTCTTGGACCTCCTAGGTTGTCTTATCTTTGCTATGACACTGTAGTAAAGATAGCCTACTTTGGAACCATGTCAGAGAAAGGCTGACATACAGGATTCAGAGACTTCTAGACTTCATGCAAGCCATGGAACAAGTCAGTTCCCAGGCCGGAACAAGGTGCCAGGCCTCCAGATTAGAATCGATAACCCTAACCTCATTCAACTCACTCAGAATGACATTCAGCCATGCAAAGTAAGAACACAAAAGTAGGTGAAAGCAAGAAAATCCACAGTGGATAGATCAGGAGACCTTGATAGTATTTTTTTAATGGAGTCTGTGCTGGGGACCTTACACCTTATCCAAGCCCAGGTGTTGACTCATCCCATGATCTAGACAGAGTAAGATCTCTGGATCTGCCGAGGGCCCCTCCCTCAGGCTATGTCAAGGCCACACTTCTGCCTCCAGCTCTCTTACACCATCCCCCCCTTAGACCTTGCAGCAACTTCTGTGCCCCCACCTATAGCACCTCCTCCATCTCATCCTCAGCGAGGCAGCCAGCGTGTGTCATGGCCTGCCATTGGCTTCCTGGTGCTCTCATGGCTCTTTGCCTTCATCACCATGGTTGTGGCTGCAGTTGGAGTGACCACATGGCTGCAGTTTCTCTTCTGTTTCTCCTACATCAAGCTTGCCATCACGCTGATCAAGTATATTCCACAGGTACTCCAGGGCCTTCCTGCATTGTTATGTGGCTGGTAGGTGGCATGAGAGATGAGAGGTACCTAGCCTGGGCCCTGCTTCCATAGGGCAGCTTGCTGCTCACCAGAGAAAGGAGAGTGGAAAGCTGCAGTGGATGCCAGTGAGACTAGACTGGCACTAGACTAAACCACTGAGAGCTGCTGCCTGCTCTTGCCCTATAATTGAGTCACACAAGTCTGTCTCCATGCCCACAGTGACTCAGGCTAAGCTTGTATGATATAGCTGCCACGACAATTTCCACAAAATTTTTCTTCCTTATGAGAAGGTTCCTTATGTTCACAAGTTCAGGAAGGAGAGCATTGGCTGGGAGCACAGCTAAGCCTAAGGGAAAGTAGAGTTCAGTGGATGATGAAGGGTGCCCCAGGCTGGGCTACACACAGGAGACCTGGCTACTGAACAGTATTAAGAATGTTGGAAGGCTAAGCTCTAAGAATTGTGGTTTGAAGCCTGCCCAGGCAGGAAAGTCCATGAGGCTCTTACCTCCAGTAAACTACCCAGAAAAAGCCAGAAATAGCGCTGTGGCTCAAGTGGTAGGTAGAGTGCTTGTCTTGAGCTGAAGAGCTCAGGAACACTACCCAGGCTCAGAGTTCAAGCCCCATGGCCAACTGATGTGAGGATTTCTGTAGTCAGGCCCTGCATGTGGGAAGGCCTGGGACCAGGAACCTGGAAGGCAGAACCGCAAAAAGGGAGACATTTGCAATTGTCTGGGACTGGGAAAGAAGCCAGAAAGAGGGCGCTACCCCTCCCTCCATTGGAGTTGGAAGGGACAGAGGTAGAAGGGAGGTCTTCCTTGGCCTGGATGATTAGACCATGGGACACCCAGATTGTTCCCTGGACGGAGGCTTGACAGAGCCCAAAGGTCACTGTGTTCTTTGGTGCTAGTCCTGAGTGGGAGCCTTCAAAGCTGCTCTTTAGAGTAGCAGTCACAAGACACGTAAGGCAGTGGCCCAGACCCCTCATAGCCCTCCTTGTGTCTATCCCTCCTCCTGTCTAGGCCTACATGAACTTTCACTACAAAAGCACCGAGGGCTGGAGCATTGGCAGTGTGTTCCTGGACTTCATTGGAGGCAGCTTCAGCCTCCTCCAGATGTTCCTGCAGTCCTACAACAACAGTAAGTCAGTCTGAGAGCTGCCCCTACCCAGTGGGTGGAGGTATGAGATGGGGTTGGGGTTTCCAAGCTGACTGGGCTCCTCTGCTCTTGCTGCAGCTGCCTTGGGCACTATCAGCTAAAACTAGTTTTTTCCCTCCCGGCTGTTAACAGACCAGTGGACGCTGATCTTTGGAGACCCAACTAAATTTGGACTTGGCATCTTCTCCATATTCTTTGATGTTATCTTCTTCATCCAGCACTTCCTTCTGTACAAAAAGAAATCGGGGTATGACCAGCTGAACTAGCACTCAGAGAACCACCAGTGTAAACAGCCAGGGCCAGGGTCCTGGTTGGGGAAGGCTGTACCCACTGAAGGCCAGAGAAGCAGCTGGCGTGCAGGCCCTGTGTGGCATGGCCCAGCATGCCGGAGAAGCACTTTCTTCCTCAGGCCAAATGCCTTAAACACAACCGCCTTGCCTTCACCCAGGCCCCTCCTGGGCCTCAAAGGACCCCCCACCCCCTTTCTGGGATGGACACCTGACTCTGCTCTGAGACTGAAAAGCAGACCTCAGGTGGTCCCTCTCTGCCTCCTCAGAGGTCCCAGCTGAGCCAGACTAGGGGTCTGGCCCTCCTGCATCTTGATGCACCACCTCTCTTTTCTTTAAGGCCTCAGGCAGCATTCACAGAACCTGACAGCCATACGAGGCCGAATGGGACACTAAGCTTGCAGCCGAAGGCCTTGCCCCAAACAAGTGTTTCTGGGAGCAGCTTGAAAGGCTGACCATGCCGCTGGGAGAGCCAAGGGCACTTTGCTGCCACCGTTGTGGTCCCAGGAACCAAGCAGCCAGGTGCTTTAGCCAATGGACTCGAAGGTGCCGATGCTGGTGGTGGAGGGGTGAGGACTGTGGGACTAGGCCTTAGGGTCCTTTCTCGGAAGGCCACACTCCTGAAACTCATCCTGCATAACTCAGCTTCCACAGCTGCAGTAACAGGTGGCCCAGAGCAGGGCCTGAGCACGGAGGTACCTGCCAGATAAGCTCTGAACTGCACTCTGCCCAGTGCTCATTGTCTAGACACCAGTCTGTTGTCACACTAACTCAGAGTTTGAGAAGGGATGTTTTAGAAATGGCTTGCTCTTCCCTGCCTTCACTTTCCTAGTGAATTAGGGCCCTGTTTGAGCACCCTACTACTCCTAACTTAGCACCAGCCTGTGCCTTAGAAGCCTGCCCACCTGCCAAGTAGTGACAGCAGCTCCCTTGGAGGGGAGGGCCGGGCCCCCTTCCCTTGATTTCCTCCAGACACCTGAGACTTCAGTGTTTTGGTCATGGAGAAATTGAACCCACCTCACACAATTGGTATGGGTCCAACCCCAATCTCACACTTCCTTCCTTATCCTCTCCAGCTGGTGCCCTCCCTGGGGTGGAAGGAACTGGAATGTGCCTTGTGTGACCTGAGTTTGCCAATCTTTTTTTTTTTTTTTTAACAAGTACTTGTGCCTTTTTTTCCTTAACTGCTTTTTGTGTCCTATTTGGGTAGAGCCCTAATCCTTAATTAAAGCTTGGCTTATTTCCTTTGTGCACACTGAGTATGCTAGATATGGAAGCTTCGTCAGCCTGCAGAACCAAGCCCATTGGGCTTAGTGAACCAGCCTTGCTCACTTCGCGTACAGGAACAGGTAGGGCTGTGGAGTTCACTGACCAGAGAGAGGTAGCTGCATTCTGACCCCCAAATTCATCAGGGAAGGTCCCTGCCCTCTCAGACCCAGGTAGGTCTTACAGGTACAGTCTACCAGTATCAGTGTGCCACTAGCATGTCAAAAGCTGTGGCTGTGAGCAGGGATTGAAAGAGATGGGCATGACACCACTAGAAGCAGGGGCAGGAAGAAGGGCTTTTCCTCTATCCAGTTGTAACTTAAGGAATTGCAGATCCCTTTCCCCAGCGCAGATTACAGTCAGACCAAGCCCACAGCCCTATTTTATTGGAGCCACCTAGTGGTTGGTTGGTGTGTACATATGTATCTGGGTGCTGTGCACTCCAGGCTGACACTCTACCTCAGCTCTACTCTGTCTTGAAGAGTCGTATGGACTTTGCTGCCCAGGCTTGGCACAGCCTTCTGAGTAGCTAGGATTATAAGCATGAAACACTGGTGCCCAGTCCAATGGCTTTTATAAAATATTGTTGGGCTGGGTATGTGTCACATACCTATAATCCCAACTATGTGGGAGACTAAGGCAAGAGGATCCCAAGAAGCTGGGAAAGGCTGAGGATATGGCTTAGTGGTAGTGTTTACTTAGCTACATGGAGGCTCTGGGTGCGATCTCCAGCACCTAAAAATATATATGTGGTACTATATTAAAAATGGGAGATTGTAAATTCTGGACTTTAAAAAATAGTTCTAGCAGAGGGATGCTATAGTTTAAACCCAAGGCCTACATGCTAGACAGGTACTCTGTACTAAGCTACATTTCAGGTCTTCCAAATTTTCTTGACAAATCTGATTTGGCAGTGCTAGACAGGGCCAGGAGTGACAGCATCATTCTGGTAGGAACAGGATCTAACCAGCCCCATCCCTTTGAACATCTGGGGTTGTGTCCTTGACTGTGTGCTTTAGTGTTTTTGAGTCTCAGGGGCAGTGAGGCTTTGTGAGCAGGGGCTGAATCTAGGTTATTCAAGGCAAATTGAGGGCACTCAGAATCTTCAGTGGTACCAAGAAACAATACATACCAGGTTCCTCACCCCAGCTGCATTGAAGGTGCACCCCAGGTTTCAACAGATGTGAGCCTTGCCAAGTACAGCATGTCTCCTCTGCAGTTCAAAGGTAGCACACCAGCCAAATATTCCATGCAGGGGATCCTGGGAAGACTTAGGCTTTTTCTCAAGGCCAGGAAGTGGGCAGACACTTTAAAAACCAAAACAATTGTCCCAATCCACCCTTAAATCTCCCTAATCTCATGGCTCAGTAAAGACCCCTCATGAATTTCATCCTTTATTGAGCACAAGATCAAGTGTGGGATAGCATCATACTGTCCCATTTCCACATTAACCAAATTAAGGCTTGTTTGTGTGTGCTAAGAGTAGTTGCTCCCAGATGTGAATTAGTAAGCTAAATTCAAAAGTGAAACTGGCATTTTCCAAATGGTAAGATAAAAACACTTTGTATCAAAGTTATGATTTAAAAAATACAAAAGTTAAACCCACAGGTGAAGAGAAACTTGGCAATCCTGAGAGCTGCCCAAAAATGTCAGCTCTGGAATTCATCTAAATCCGTAAGCAGACACGTGTCTTCCCACTCCCTCCCCCCCCCCCCCCCCCCCCACAGGCCAGCACCTGTGGGAGAGGAGGTTAAGTAGCTCTGGTACTGTGTGAGTTTAGACCCCAGCTGGGCATGTAGGGAGCAGTGTGGTGCCCAGGAAGCATGCAGCACACATTGTGGTAGTAACAAGGCAGGGCCAAGTTCTGTAGCCAGAACAAACAGAAAAGTGACCCCACCTGGCATTTCCTAGCTTTGGCAATAGTCAGGTGTTTCCTGTTCACCTGGGCACTGCTATGGGCAGGCAACAGGGCTGAGAACTGAATCTAGTCACTGTAGATGCACAACCACTCAACTTCAGGCCCTGGTTTCCAATCCTCAGTGTCCAGGGGAAACTGCTGCTAACAGGGCTCAGACTTGGGGTAAGAGGGGAAGGGAGGCTGGCTCAGCCTTGGGATCAGCTGTCACCCTTCTGAGCTGAGGCCCAGCATACAGAAGCCAGGAAGTAGGCAGAGCATGGTAGTGGTCACTGTACAAATAGGCAGACAAGTATGAGTGAGGGCAAGCTGCTAGGACAACATGGACTGCTGCACGGCCTTCTGCAGCGACTGCCTTGTCACCAGCAGACGCACCACTTCTTCTGAGCGCTTGGTGAGCCGCTTCCGGGCCTGGTCATGTGTCACCATGGTCATGTCCCAGCCATTTACCTGGTCCAGGGAGAGAACACATCAACTCCTTGAAAGCAGACAGCTTGGGGGAAACCCAGGCCATCCGAGCGGAACCCCAAGTTATCCTCAGCCTTGAAAGTGCCCAGCACTGGAGCCAAGCACACAGGATAGAACAAGCTTCCTTGGGCATCAATACCAGCATGGCTTCCAAAACTGCTCTGGTGAGTCCCTCCCCATGAAAGGCTGGGCTAGCTCCCCCATCCCAAGGGCTTTAACCCCTCAACAAGCCCTTTTTCCTTCTTTGGGACTCCCATTACCTGCATGATCTTGTCTCCAATCTGTAGCCCAGCAATTTCCGCAGGACCTCCCTCAGATACACGTGTGACATAAATGCCCTGGGAAGAGACAACCCAGGTAAAGCTCTGCAGTCCCAGGACTGGCCCGTAATCCACACGGCAGAGCCCAGCAAAGTATATCCTAGCCCTCTGTCCTTGTGCCCACCCTCTCCCTACCACTTCTCTCCCTGCCACTCAGCAAGTACATCTTATGTCAAGACAGCAGGGAGAAAGTATAGATTTTCCAGGATGCTCTAACCTGTTCCTCCTGGCTATCTGAAGCAGGCCTTCATAAGACTGGGAGGCCTAATATTCACCCCCACTTATTCCTACAAGGTCATTCTGGGACCGCCTTAGGAATGTTGATAAAAATGAGGTCTGCTACTTCCATGTAGGCACAGGAAGAAAGCCATACCACCTCCTGTCTGTCCCTCTCACCTTGTCTGTCTTATCTTCTGAGAAGGGATTCTGGGAGGGATCCTGGTCAATCCCACCTCCGATGCTGAAGCCAAGGATTAAGTTCTCACCTTGGCGTAGCTTGTGAATTTCAACTCGTTGCTGCCAAAGAAAAAAGCAAGTTGTAGGTAGGTGACTAGGCACAGAATGAATCTGGTCTATATCCACAGCAACAGCAGACTTTGCCAAGTAATAAGGCCTAGGGCCCTTTGCCAGTATCCAGCTGTTCACTGTTCTGGGAGCCTGGAGATTTGGGACCCAAACTAGCCACATGGAGATATAGCATAGCTCTCTGCATTCAACCTTTTCCCTCCTCTTCCCCTAGGTTTTGTCAGCAAATAATGAGCTTCTCTAGGCCCAGGAACCAAGGGTGCTATGGCTACTGTGGAGAGGATATGCATCTTTCCAGGGAGGGCACACAGGGAAGGAGAGGTTATAGCCTAAGAAAAGCCACATATCTTGCCTGAGGCAGCTCAGGTTGCTGAACCAGCCCTAGAAAGGGTAAAACAGGAAGTACTCAGGAAAAGTGGAGAATATAAATAAGCACTGAAGAGAGAAAAAGGATTTCTTGGCCAAAGGGAAGCAGGTCCCAGGTGCTGTAGGTACATGTTTGTGAGACCTAAGTGTACAGCACAGGATGCAGCACAGGATGTAGGTAAGATGAGACTGAATGAGTAAGTCTATGGGCTACTGGCCTGAGACTGGTCATAGATGGAGCCTCCTCAAGCCAAATTCTTGTGCAGTGTAAAAGACAGTATCTTATGGCTTTCCTACCATGCTTTGGGACTTAGGATCCATGCAGTCTCCTTTCAGAACCCTTGGCAAACACCTTCCAAACACTAGATGCTGAGAGCCAAAGCAGATTATCCTCAAAGTGTAACACAGGACAGGAAAAGACTTCACAAAGGAGGGATTATTTGTATCAGGTCTTGGGAGGAGAGGGGGTGATGCCTGATCTTGGTTCTGAACCCAGTGGAGTTCAAGGAGTCAGATTAGGGTAAGGCACAGCCAGGTTTGATCTGACCACTCCTATAGTCAGTAGAGGAATGGATGTTTCATGAGTGGGATGTGGAAGCCACAGGACATGAGCTACTTGGAAACAAAGATCCACAGACTTGGGGACTGCTCGAGGAGGAGGAAAAGCCAGTCATCTGGCCTGGCTGACTGCCATGCTCAGAGAAGGTGGAGTTGGGAGTGTCAGAAGCCACTGTACAGTTATCCAGAAGGCAAATCTGTGGAGCCAGTCCAGCGAAGCCAGAATGATTGTAACATTCACAAGGATGAACTACACATAAGTGAGTGTGGGAATGGGGAGAAAGCCACCCCCACCTCATCCACTATCCAAGACACAAGAGAGGCCAGACCCACACAAATGTACTGACGTGCTTCTGGCGTTAGAATTGGAGGGTTGTGTGGACCTGCAGCTTTGAGGGAGACCCTGGAACTGGCCATAACATGAAGGGAGGAGGCACAGAAACCCCATCCTGAAGCCCATTCAAGTGACAAGACTCCAGACCTGTTTCAATACACCTTCCTTCATACCCAAGGTCAGGAAAGAGGATTCCCCTCACTGCCTTGCTAAGAAAAGACAGTAACAAAGTTCTCTCTGGTTCCTCACTTACAAACCATTTTTTACCAGCTAAGGAGCAAACCTGCAGCAGCTAAGAATCTGGAAAAGCCAGGCTGGTGCAATCAAGGTAAACTCCAGTCCAACTCTTAGCAGCTGGTCCAGCCAGAGCTGGTGTTCTAATCTCACCCTCACTGGTAACTGCTTTGCCCCCACCCTCCAGACAACCACAGCCCTCAGGTAAGGCACACCCGTCACACACCTCCAGTCCCCTACAGGGCTGAGACTTGCACTTAGCCCTGTGCCTGCCGGACAGGCATTTTCCTCCCCCATTGTCTAAAGCCTCTGGACTGCTGAGTAGGTAACCCAGGTCCTTCCTAAGGTTCTGTCTATGGCTGGGCATGAACAGCTTTCTCTCTGGGACTCAGTTCACCCACCCCTGCCATGGGGTTGGCCTTCAAGGCACCTTCTGTGACTTTGGCATCCATACCTAATTGCCTAAGTCTCCCTCCTCCTCTTTGCCTATTCAAAGAGCACCGAAGAACGAAGCAAACCTGAGCTGACCTCAAGGGTCTCCTCGTGTTTCAAGTGTCAGGCATGGAACCTGAACTTTGTCCGGAGGACTGGGGATCCAGAAAAAGTTCAGAGAAGGATGGAAACGGTCGTAAGAGTATTCTGGGACTGGCCATGGGGGGGTCCACGGAGCAGGGTCAAAGGGGAAGGGGGGGGAAGAGGCCGCCCCCGCCCCCCACCCCTCCCCCGCCGGGCGGTGGCGCCGCGGGGCCCAGGCGCAGGAAGCGCTTCCTCATTCCAGACCGAGACTCAGCTCCGCCCCCCGTGGCTGCCGGCTGGGGACCGGGACCCCGGACCGGGAAGCTGCCTCGGACTCAGACCACCGAGGTCCTTTTCCTCCCTCCTCCCGCCTCAGCCAGCAGAGAGCCCGCCGGCGACAGCAGTGCCAAGGGGCTGGCCTCGGATCCCACCCATCGGTTCCGCGGCTGGAAGAGGTTGCATAGCTGCTCCGGCCGAGCGGGGCGCCGAGCTCCGGTCCCGGTTCTTACACAGGAGCCTCACTCCCCAGGCTCTGCCAGTCTGCTAGGACGTCAGTTTACCGCCCTGCGCAACGGGGCAGCCAAGACAAGAAGGAGCCCGCGCGGGCGCACTCACCACCACGGCGGTGACCGGCTGGCCGGGGATGTAGGACATCTCGACCCCAACCCGGGAACCGAACGCCACTCCGGGAAGCCCGGCCCGAGAACGCCAGGGCCGCGCCCGCCCGGGCTAACAAAGGCAGCTGGACTGAGCCCGCCCCCTCGTGAGGACTCCGCGAGGCTCCAGCCAATCAGGGGCCGGAGCGGTGTCAGCTTTCGGAAATCCAAAGGCGAGCCCAGTGCTAAGGGGAGCGGCAGGGAGGTGCCCACTGCGCAGGCGCCAGGGGGCGAGACCGAGGTGTGCGCACGCGCAGCTTGTCTTCCCAGCAGTCCCCAGAACAAGATGGCGCCGCGGGAGTCTGTATGTCTGCCTATCTGAGGGAACGTCAGGCTGTCTGTCCGCCTCCGTATTCCAGGTAACTGGGAAAACGTGGCCGAGGAAGGCGGATGTGCCGCCAGGCCCGGCCAGCCCTAGCCTTGGGCTTTCCCAGCGGCGTGCGCTTCGCGCGCCCAGTCCCGGCATCAGGGTCACTTGGTTTTCTTTGCAGCTCTGCGTTGCTCCTCGTGGAAGCGAAGCCTGAGCTCCGGCGGGCGCGATGGCCGCGGTGGTGGCCAAGCGAGAAGGGCCGCCGTTCATCAGTGAGGCCGCAGTGCGGGGCAACGCCGCCGTCCTGGATTACTGCCGGACCTCAGTGTCAGCGCTGTCGGGAGCCACCGCCGGCATCCTCGGCCTCACCGGGCTCTACGGCTTCATCTTCTACCTGCTCGCCTCCATCCTGCTCTCCCTGCTCCTGATTCTCAAGGCGGGAAGGAGGTGGAACAAATACTTTAAATCACGTAGACCTCTCTTCACAGGAGGCCTTATCGGTGGCCTCTTCACCTACGTCCTGTTCTGGACGTTCCTCTATGGCATGGTGCACGTCTACTGAAGTGAGGGCAAGGGAGACTTTAAAAAAAAAAAAAGTAAAAACAGATTGAGAAGACTGTTGCCAGAAATTAACACCTTGTAGACCTCCTTAGTTTTTAAATTGAATTCGCTGCTTGGTCTGTAACGTTATAAATAACTTATATCAGAAGACAGCCTGTAATATTCTTCAGATTAAATGAAGTGTGAGATATTTGGTGGAGTGCTTTTCTGCCTTAATGCAAAATGTGCATAGTTACAGAATGGCCAAGATTTGACTCCTGAAGAGCAAGCATTAGGCCATAGCAGGTAGTTCCCTTACATGTGGGCCGGAGAGGGGCCACTTAAGAGTTAACACCCTGAGGGCTGGGAAGGTGGCTCAGTGGTAGAGCGCTTGTCTTGCACACATGAGGCCCTGGGTTCGATTCCTCAGCACCACATAAGCAAAAAAGAAAAAAGCCGGAAGTGACGCTGTGGCTCAAGTGGTAGAGCGCTAGCCTTGAGCTGAAGAGCTGAGGGACAGCGCCCAGGCCCCACGACCGGACCCAAAAAAAAAAAAAAAAAAAAAAAGAGAACACCCTGAGAACTGATGACATTTATTGTGTTCCTACATGCCAGGCATTGTGCCTTGTACTCTTTACACCCATTATCTCACTTAATTCTAGCAATAACTATAGAGATCTTTTTTTAACCCTCTGTTGATGAGGAACCTGAGGCAAAAGTGAAATACCTCTGCCAAAAGAGGCTGAGCCAGGATCCAAATGCAGGTCTCTTAATTTGCTCTTGCCATATTGGCTAATGTATCATTTTCACATCCCAGGATTCCCTCCTAGTAACCACTACTTCCCTAGGCATGAGTGGAGTTCTTCTCATTCCATTTTACCTACCTAGGCACTGCTTGTCTTTCTGCAAGAAAGTAAGTTTAGCTGGGTGCCCGTTGCTCACACATGTAATCCTAGCTACTCAGGAGACCGATATCTAAGGATCACCATTTGAAGCCAGCCTGGGTAGACAAATCTGTAAGGCTTTGGTCTCCAGTTAATCAGCAAAAGCCAGAAGTGGAATTGTGGCTCACTAGCCTTGAGCAAAAAAACTAAGAGGTAGTGCCCTGAGTTCAAGCCCCAGTACTGGCACCAAAAAAAGTAAGAAATTCAAGCTATGATTTCATATCTTGATCCAGAATATGTCTTGGGAAGATTATTTTAAATAGAGTCCTTAAAAGTTTGGTTTGGGTTGGGAAGGTGGCTCGGTGGTAGAGTGCTTGCCTTGCATGCATGAGGCCCTGGATTCAATTCCTTAGCACCACATAATCAGAAAAAGCCAGAAGTGGCTCAAGTGGTAGAGTGCTTGCCTTGAGCTGAAGAAATCAGGGACAGCAACCCAGGCATAGAGTTCAGGCCCCACAACCAACAACAACAACAAAAAAAAGTTTGGCTTAACAGTTGCCTCTGCCTATAAATTGACATTTTCTTGTTAGGAGGGTTATCTTAAGAATATGCTTAGTGAAGAAATGCTTCATTAGAGTTAACAGTAATGAACATGTTCATGTTGAGATTATCATTACCTAATTTTGTAAATATTTAAACAAGTACTGTGAAAGAGTGCATAGAAGCACATTGAAAATGGGGGTCAAGGAAGGCTTCTTTGAGGAAATAGTTATATCTGAGACCCAGAAGTTGAATAACAGCCAAGGAAAGGGTAGGGCAAAAAGAGGCTATCCACAAAAACGGACACATAGGAAGGAAAATGGCCTTTTATCTGGAGAATAGAGGCTATGGGATCGACCGGGATTATGGAGAACCCTAGGAGACAGTTGGTCTTATACCAGAGAAGCTTTTGGAAGTTATCGTCAGAACTGATGTCAATCAGGTTTAGATTTTAAAAAACAACAAAACAGTCATAATGGAGGATAAGAATATGAGTCCAAAGACCCTTTTACAGACTATAGGTAGCCTGTGTCCAGTAATACATTCAAGACCCAAGCATCCTGAATCCCATTTTAAGCTCTGAAACAAACAGGGGGCTGGAAGGTGGTTCAGTGGTGGAGTGCTTGCCTTGCATGCATGGGGCCCTGGGTTCGATTCCTCAGCACCACATAAATAGAAAAAGCCAGAAGTTGTGCTATGGCTCAAGTGGTAGAGCACTAGCCTGAGCTGAAGAGCTGAGAGACAGTGCCCAGGCCCAGAGTTCAGGCCCCACAACTGACTAAAAAAAATAAATAAAAACAAACTGAAAAGAAACTGAAGCCACAGCTTTGCCTCTCCCTGCCCAATGCTGGGATCCTCACACTCATGGTTTGCACAACCCAGTCCTCTTTTGGGCTGCCTTTTGTAGGAAGGGAGGACTCATTCCTGATGCAGAGGAAAAAGTAAGCAGAAGGGTTCCTGTTAGGACAGTGGGGAAAAGGATGAATGACAAGTGTGCAAATTTACTTAACCACTCCCTATTGTTAGGCAGTAAGCTTGTTTGGAACTGTTCAAAATTAGAAGGAAAAAAATATATATACACACACACACACACACACACACACACACACACACACACACACACACACACACACACACATAGTAATGAATGTCTGTTTATGCTGTTTTGAGGGAATGTATAATCTCCTAAGGTGCAAGATGACACACACACTACCCTTGAATAAAAATACCAGCTTTATTAGTGCCTTCCTAGTCTTCTAAGAGTTCCAATACTTTTATTTGAATCCCTTGTGAGAAAATGAGCACAGTATATTGCTTATTATTTCTTGTGTCTGCCTCTTTTGGTCTTCTCTCACCATATATTTTTCCTTAAAACATAGGGTAACTATAAAACAGGCAGGCAAAAATTTAGGACATTTAAAATGGATGCTTTTTATTGTTTTAGAACCAAATGTGTCAGAAAACATATTTTGGGCAGTTCCCAGAAAATGTCTGTCATCTTGCCCCTTGGCCAAAGGGGAAACAGCTGGAAGAATGATGTTGCCTTTGAAAAGAAAACATTCTTTGATCCACTGAAGAATGTGCTGCGAGGACAGCCGCACACATGAGGGGGCAGGGTGCTGGGAGGACAGCTGCACCTGCACACTTGGGGGAGAGGGCAGGGTGCTGGGAGGACAGGGCACACTTGGGGGAGAGGGCAGGGTGCTGGGAGGACAGCTGCACCTGCACACTTGGGGGAGAGGGCAGGGTGCTGGGAGGACAGCTGCACCTGCACACTTGGGGGAAAGGGCAAGGTGCTGGGAGGACAGGGCACACTTGGGGGAGAGGGCAGGGTGCTGGGAGGACAGGGCACACTTGGGGGAGAGGGCAGGGTGCTGGGAGGACAGGGCACACTTGGGGGAGAGGGCAAGGTGCTGGGAGGACAGGGCACACTTGGGGGAGAGGGCAAGGTGCTGGGAGGACAGGGCACACTTGGGGCCGGGTGGGTTGGAGCAAAATGGAGCCTCTTTGCAGATATGTGGGCTATCAATCCAAGGAAGGTGATTGAGCAACTCCACAAGACATCATACTTGGCTGGTATAGACATCTAGAGGAAGTCATCTTTCCCCTGTATGACTGGCCCGCACTAAGAGGAATGGTGAGTGGAGAGGGGACGCAGCCAAGGCTAGTCAGTCCTGATGACCGCAGCCTGGGCTGAAAATAAGCATAGACACTTCATCTCATCCTGGAATATCAGAATAGAAAGGAGCTCTTGGGGTGGGGTGTTACAGTGCAGGCCTTATTTCCAATTCCCAACACTGCTAAAATACTCTGGAAATATTGGTGCTCTCAACAAACCAGTGTCTTTGGAGAAAACTTTTACCAGCTTTTAAGTTCCCGCTTTACCTCTCCCTGAATAAAAGTCCATTTTCTGTGACTCCTCTTGGGTCCCTTCCCCAGATGGAGAGTTTTTGCTACCTTTACTGCTTTTCTTTTACTTTCAAATAAACTTTCTCTTGGTTGAAAAGAAATCCATTTTTCTGCCTGTATTCCCATTGCTCAGATGGCTGAGGATGATGAAGATAGGGAGGATGGAAGAATCTGAGGCCTGTCTCAAAAACCTTCAACCAAAAACGACAGCAACAAAATCCTTCCCTAAGATTCCCCATCCCCCTCACACCAATGTTGTGTGGAAGGTCAGAAGCAGAGCATGCAGTTCTGTCCGAAAACCACAATGGGTTCCTTGGCTTTTCTTAGCTTCTAAGAACTCTTAATATTCAGGCAGTGATGCCACCCAGAAAGCTTTATCAACCATGATTAGGTTAAGTCTCTAAGGCTGTAAATTTTGAGATATCCTTAGGATTAAAGAAAAAAACTTGGTTAAAGAATCCATCAAAGCTGGGTGCCAGTGTCTCACTCCTGCAATCCCAGCTACTCAGGAGGCTGTGCTCTGAGGATCAGCGTTCAAAGCCTGCCCGGGAGGAAAAGCCATGAAACTCCAGTAAACCACCAGAAAACCCAAAGTGGTGCTGTAGCTCAAGTGGGAGCCTTGAGCTGAAAAGCTGACAGTGCTCAGCTTAAGAGTTCAAGCCCCATTACCGACAAAAAAAAGCATCACAAAATAGGTACTGGTAACTCACACTTGTAAAACTACTCAGAAGACTGGGATCTGAAGAATCACATTGAAAAAGCAGAGGTAGAAGTGTAACTCAAGTAGTAAAGCACAGCCTAGCAAGGCAAGACCCTGAGTTCAAATCCTGCCACTCAAGACTCACTGAAGACTGGTTCACACATGTAATCAGCATTCAGAGGCAGAAGAATATCAAGTACCAGACTAACTTGGGCTATGTAGTGAAGCCCTGTCTCAAGAGAGGAGGAGCATGGAAAGAGGAGTGGAGAAAAGGAAGAAAGGGAGAGAGGGAAGGAAGGGAGAAAATACCCACTTCATCCTCTGCCCAGGCCAAAGCAACTCTGTGCCTGTGTTCTCTGAGAATGCCAAATTGCTTGGTAAATTCAGATTTCAACACCTATGTATGGCTACTCTTGGTTAACTCTTGCCAGACCTGAAGCATGCTATGTAGATTGTCACCACTGTATCTCTAAAATGTCCAACAACTGATACATGATAGAATTCAATGAGTATTTACTGATTGAAAAGCTACAGTGAGACATTTTCATTCCCATATAAGTAAATAGTACAATTGTTCCCAAATTCTATGATTGCTGCCATGCCATTTCAAAATCTGGTTAAAAGGAAACAGACCAGTCGTTTACTAGCCATGACTCTTGCTTGTCCCTCGTTTCCTCC